GCCCGGGATGTCCCTGAGAGTGAAGATAAAGGATGTGCCCTGTTGTCCCCAGTCATCCGGTGCCTGTTGCTGGGTTTTCAGCAGGCTTTTGTGAGTGCTCATGTGAATCGGAGCTTAAGGAGGTTAAGTGCCAGCGTGATTATTTTGGTGAGGGTGGGTGATTATTTTGGTGAGGGTGGCGATGATTTCGGTAGTTAAGCCCTACAATGTGGCGCGCGGGTGGGGTTTCTCTTTTCTTTATATACTTCCTGAAGTTGGGTTTTCCCCATTTCCCATGCAGGGATTTATTCCAGCAGGAATTCTTCTACCAGGGAGCAGAGCTGCTGAACTTGCCTGTCTGCCTGCACTGGTGCAGCTCCAGCATCCCGGCTTCTCTATGTGAGAGCTTTCAAGTTCATGTGCTKCACACTCCGTGCTGAGGAAACTTTAAATGATGACCTCTTTTTGCTTGGTTTCAGATACTTAAGCTATGAAGTGGATATAAATTAATTTCTTTCCACTTTCTCTTTCTTGACAGATTCTATTTTGATTTTCGAAAAGCTTATTTGAAACAAGAACCTCAGTTAATGAGAGTTTATTTTTTGGAGCTTTCATCGGGGCAGTTATTAATTTCCATTCTTGACTTTGCTTCAGTGTTGTGCTTAATCTCATCTCCTTTTTATCTCTTCCTATAATATTGCACAAGCAAAGATTATTTCCCAAGTCTTGTCTTCTCTCGGTATTCATTCAGTCTCGATGCATGAGTGCTGGATCCGACTGCGATGATGAAGAGGGGGGATCATGAGCAAGCGCTTAAGGGTGTGGAAGGAAGCCTAAGAGCAGGAATGTGGTAGCAGTCTTATTTTTAAGGACCGTGGCCTGTCGGAAGCCGTCGCTGTGYGCGTGTTGCAGCAGAACTGCTTAGTTTCCATGCTCCAAGCTGAAGGAGCTGGGGCTGCGGTGTGGGAGCTGCACAGGCTCAGGACAGGACGAGCGTGAGTAAAAAGGTCCAKTTTGTTGCTGTTTTTTTCCTAAAATGTAAGTTCATTTGGTGATGTAAGAGTAAAGAATGAAGCACACTGACTTGAACTTGAGTGGAGGGGAGCAGCATCCCATGAAAATTTGTGGGATGACCCCAGTAATGCCCTTTGATGCCAATTCCAGGGGAACTTTAGCGTTTGCCCCAGTTGCTTCCCTGTGGTGAGGGCAGAAGATGAGAAACCTGCTGCCACTGGAGCGATAAGAGGCATGCAAGAGCATCCCATTCCAGGCCCAGCATTCCTGCCATGCCAGCTGCCTCCTGAAAGGTGCTAGTAGGTACTAATTTAAGCAGACCAGTCCAGCCTAACCTAAGTGCCTTCACATATCATCYGTGTCTGAAGTTTGTACTTGGTTAGATTTTTTGTGCTGTTAAAGAGGTGCTCACCTTGAGCGGGATAATAGGCTTGGCATTAGTATTCCCCCTTATCATGGAAGGTCAGTTCTTCCTGCTCTATGTCCTTGTCCCACTTTTTCCTTCTAGTGGTTTTTTTTTTTTCTATTCCTTCACCTCACTTTTTTTTTCAGTCTCAGGTTCTTCCTCCTTCCTCCTCAGTCTTCATTTATTTGTAAAAATAACATAATTCAGCCAGGATTAAACCCTGAGGGTTCCTTTAGCCGAGCTTTTCCAGGACGGCTTCCTGAAATGGGCCTGAATTGAAATAGTGTGCAAGGCTGGCTGTGATGGATGCAGCTCGGTGCTTGCAATAGAGGAATCTGGGCTGCTTGGCTGCATGTTACGTAGGATCTTGGTCTGCAGCACTATMTATTCTGCCTCTTTGTGCACAGGTTGGTATTCCTGTGGCTTTTCCAGGATGGTCATTCTGCTGAGGACAGCGGGGATGGCTGTAACTTGCCCTGGGTGCTGGAGATGATGGAGATGGAGGCAGTGGTGGTTAAACCAAGGCTGATCCGATCAGTGGTGCACAAAGGAGCCGCCTTTGGAGAGCAGCATATGGGTGTGTGGGCTTGTGCTCCCTGCCCCTTCTTGCAGCAAGGTTAATGAATTGATCAGCTTAAAAGGACACCAGGAAGAGTGGTCGCTCCATAATTGTTATTTTTGTCACCACATGATAATGGGACTGTTTTAAAGGAAGACTGCTGGGGACAGACMGAGTCCAGGGTACATGCACAAAACCAAAATCATTTAGAAATCTTTTCTTACTCTGTTTATTTTATGGCTGCCTTTCAGCGTGAATTGCAGGAGTGCGGAGCGATTACAGGTATAATTGTCATGTCTACTAGAAAAATTGTTTCCCCATGAGATACTGTAAGCTGATGCTGAGCTTCACTTAGTGAATTACAGAGATGGGCGCGTCTTGCATAGGGGGGTGTTCAAGGTAGAWGCACTTGGGTTGCTTAACCTTGTGACTCCTGACTGACTGGTGATCATTTTGGGGATATTTGGAGGCCATTTAATTAAAAACATCCCAAAAAAAGCTTTTTTGCTCTTTCCAAAAATAGAACAAAACAGTTCCAAAACATTGCTTGTAATCTGGAGTTTAGTCTATAGCTTGTCCCATGCAAACAGCAAATTAATGCCACGCAGTCGATAAGAGCAGGCAGTGCTGACTCCCGGCAGGAGAAGGTCGAATGACACCTAAACTGTAATGTCACTTGCAAACAGTGACATTAGCCCTGCAGTCCCGTACCTGCTTTGAATTACCTGGGTGCATCTGTGCAGCAGTCACTGTGTGGCACCCACCTCCTCTGCAGTGGTCATTAGTGGGGAGTTAGTTGTTGTTTAAACACGTAAAACTTCATTAGCAGGATCATATATAAGGGCTGCACCTGAAGTTCAGTATTGTGGAGTTGTGCTTAAATTGGGGGCTTTCCCTAGCTCATGGAAAGGAGATCGTAAACTGCATTACTTGCAGTACTGGAGTTTGGGCCATCAGGATATATTAATGATGTGATCTTGGAATAATAAATCCAAATTGCCCTAGGCATGGAATGTGTTGTATTCCAGCCCAAGAACTTCATGCTTTGGGACTGTAATGTGGCATCACACCACAGAACTGCAGAGAGCACCTGTACCTGGAAGTGGTGGTAACCACTTCATACGCCCCTCTGCTYGTGGGTTGTTTGTTTGTTTGTTTAATGTTCCAGATGCTTTAAAAGTCCCCAGAAGCAATTTCGTTTCCTGAGAACAGACAGGCCTTTCCGKCAGCGTGGCGGGGAGCTGGAGGGAGCGACGGGTACAGGAGAGCAGCCTGTGTCAGTATGTCCTGCTGCCACTACAGGAGAGCAGGACATACTGTGTCAGTATGTCCTGCCGCCACGCGTGCGTTGAGGTTTGGGTTGTGTCCCCAGATGAGTGTGTTGGGGGGCTTTTCTTGCACCCAGTGGCAAGGTCGGCATCTGATGTCTAGTGCTAAGGGCAGCAAAATTAGCAAAGAATTGAAATAACTGCGGGCTGGGCTGTTGAAAAGCGTGTTGAATGCTTGGAAATAGAGCTGGCTATTTACGCCTTGCCCAGATAATTTCTTGAAAGCTGCATGCTCATTAGGTGTCTGTGTGTGGGATCAGAGGGAGGCAGCAAAGAACTGGTTTAGGTGCAGGTTGCCTGGGGGCAGGGGTTGTGGGTGTCRCTCAGGTTGATGCTCCATGACAGGGGCAGATCTCCAGCAGAGTTCTGTTGTTCCATGCAGCCYGTGGTGCTCAGGCTGTAGTTTCTAAGGAGGTGCATGCACGTGGGTGAGTGTGTGCAGGCAGAGCGATGCTCTGCCTGCTGCTCCGGGGCTCGTTCCCGTTGTCTGTTTCCAGATTCCTGCTCCAGACCAGGTTATCACGTGGCTTTTGGTGCCTGAGCAAAAAGAATGTCAGCAATGTGGTCTGCAACATAATTACCTGCTCTTCTTCGTGTAACAGCAGAGTATCCTTTCGTATTTCCTGTAACCATGTGAAGAAAACTCATAAAACTCAACCTGAAGTGGAATGTATATTTTTATTAGGGAGATCTGCTGCATTTTAGGCACTAGAATGTTGATCCCTGGATTGTAAGAGGGTTTCCATGGGAGGACTAGTAGGCAGAATAAAACCATGATGGGAGCTGATGTCTGTTTGGGTCACGACAGCTTTAATGGGGATGATACTGCTGATACTGCTTGGTAAGAATAATACCTGCCTATACTTCTTAGAGCTCTTAAACTGCTGAAACCACCTAGAACAGGTCGTGGATGGCGCTGCAGCGGGGCAGGATGCCCCGCGCACCCCCCTGCCAGACACAGGGACTCCTGCATCCTCTCGTACCGAGTCTCGATTCAATTTATCACCACCCATTTAAGCTCCTGAATCCTCATTTTGTCTGGAATCCCACTGTGTCCAGCCAAAGAGGTCTCCTTACTTGGCAGACAAACTGGACAAAAAAACTGCAGGGCCTTCTCCCCAGTTCCCTGTGTGTAGTTCTGAGGGCAAAGCGAGGCAGTTCTGCTCATGAAAACCACAGGTTTTCTCACYGTGCCTTTGATTTCAAGTATTTTATAATGATTTTTTTTCCCTGAGCATTGCTGAGAAGCAGCACACCTACTGGTTTGTAAATACAAACCTCTCTTCTTGTTATTCGTGGGCRCTTTCTGTGTTGTTCATACCACCTTATTTTCCCTTACTGCTTTGKCTGTACACTGCCACCTTTGAAATGAGTTGGTGTTAGTGGAGTGTTCAGTGCTAGCTGTGACCTGCAATATCTACCCCGTCAACTGTGAACTYGGAGTGCAGTCATTTTCCAGAGGTCATATTCTTTGCTAAAGAATGCTAATAAAAAATCAAGCCCTAGTTTATTGTTTTGCTCTTTCAGAAGGGTGGGGAAAATGATCATGTTCTTTGAAGGTGTAAGGAGCAACTTAGTAAAAATCAGGGCTTGCCTTTTAACGTAACTGTCTCTGGTGGCCAGATGGAATCTGTACACAGGGGGGAGGCAAATCTCTTTAAAAGCATCTGGAGCTTTAGTGATTTCTTGTGTTCTGTTTTTCCCAAAGATCCGAGCTAAAAAGAAACCCACTCCAGTGAAGTATGAAGTTGGGGATCTTGTTTGGGCCAAGTTCAACAGGCGCCCGTGGTGGCCGTGCACAATCTGTCATGACCCGGTGCTGGACTGTCACTCGAAGATGAAAGGTACTGTATCTACTCAGACCACAAAGCGGAGATGTCTACGGCAAGGTGCTAGTTTATGGTGCTGCTTTGTATTTTTATTGATTAAACAAACATTCCTGCTCCTTGATAGATCTAAAGAAGTTGACTGGACTGTAGAAAGCTAGGAGWTCTATGAAATAGACCTGGGCCTGGGAGATGTCAGGAGGAGAAAGGGCCTGGAGCTGAGGGAAGTGAGAACGATGTGGCACAGGGAGCAGGAGATGTGGGCTCTGCTTCCCATGTGTAAGAAGGGTGAGCAGCGAGACCAGAGCAGGGCAATGCAGAGGAAAGAGCAGCCTGCTGAGAAGGTGACAGGGGCAGAAGGCAGAGACGAGGGGAGGAATCAGAGAAATGGAGTCTGAGGAGTGGTGAAAAGGGTGGGCAGGCAGAGCTGGGACAGCCTGGAGTGCACAAGGATGTGGAGAGATGGACAGTGGGAGAGGCTGCGGGATGGGGTGCAGGGCTGGATGCCTGGAGGAACCAGGTGAATGTGTGGGAGGAAGTGACTTTTTTGTTTTGGTTTTTTTTTGTCTGGTTTGGCCCAGGGAATGCAGGGGGTTGTTCATGAGGAAGTAGCAGAAAAGCCTGGAGAGCCACATGAGTGTGAAAGGTTAGGGTATAGTTTGTTGGAGAGACTAGTTGCAGCTGAGTGTAAGGCGAAGAGATGGAAGGAAATAGTGCAGAGCTATGTGCACTTGAACACAAGGAAAAGAAGGGAGCATTGGGAGGGAAGAGGGTGCTGTAAGGCCAGGACARGGAAGTGGAGATGAGTGATCAAGAGAGTAAAGGAGAGGTGACTATTCAGAAATTTCCTGCTATTGGAAGGCCCTCAGGTTGCTTTTAGGATCATGCTAGCTGCCACAGGGAGACTGACACAATGAAAAGGCTTGTTATTTTTTCYTGATTTGTGGTTCTTTGTTCTGTGGGTAGCTGGAAACTCCTTGCAATAGTGACTGRCTGTCACCGACAGCTCTGTGGACATGGGTTGCTGCTCACCCATGGGTTTGTCTGCGCTTTCCGTGACTCTTGCTCGACTACGAATCAAGCACTGAGAGTGAGCAGGTTACAGTGACCACCAGCTCAGAGACCTTAACTAGCACATGGATAGCTTGTCCTGTATCCCAAGTCTGGTTGCTGCAGGCTGCCCAGTCTTACGTGCTGCTCTTCACCTCACTCTCCTCCCTTTGGGAGGCGTTTGGCCTGATTCTAGATGGTACTGTATGTGCAGTTTAAAATAGTCTCTTCTGAGCTCACGAAGAGCATGTAACACAGACGTTGCCTGAAGATAGGCCAGGCATGTTTTCATCACCTCTGTTGTCCTGCCAGTGAAATTTTGTCTTGGTTGTTGTTTGTAGCTGTCCAGTAATCCCGTCTCAACCTTTATATGATGGTTTCTAGTATGGGAATTCTGTAGGGAGGAAGCATGCTATTAGCAAATTCCAGCAAAATCTGGACTTAGGCCATAGGATAGACATTCCCATCATGCTCTATCCCTGTTCAACCCAATAGATATCTGGGCAAAACTGTATTTTCTAGTTGTGGTTTTATTTAGTCTGGTTATTTGGCTTCTCTGAGCCAGAAATGAGCTAGTCTGGTTCAATCTGGAGTCTGGTGCTTTTGGGCCGAGGGCTCTGAGCTCTATATGTATCATAGGAAGCACAGGCCTCCCACCTTAGTTGCCTCTCCTGTTGTCATGGGAACAGGCCATTCAAAACAAGGCAGATTGCTTCAAACTCATCACTTCTGTAAAAGCTTTTTTTCTGCTTGCTCTGTGGCTTGGTGTTTTATCTAAAGCAGTTTGCCTCTGTTCAGCAAGCTCTTGAATGACGTAACTTAAAAAGAGTTTTGGAGCTGAGAAATTGAGGCTCAGTAGCTCGGCCCCTTGCTTGTGAATGGGATGGATGAAGTTGATCATCTTTGTCCTTGATGTTGCCCATCAAGTTTATATCCCATCTTCCAGCTTAGCTAGCTCTGTTCTAATGCCCTAAACCTCTGTTCTTTCACCAACATACCTAGTTACTGATTCAGTTCTTAGTTGTACCACTTCATCCAGTGTTCTTGCACTGGAAAAAAAAAGCATTTAAATCCCCAGTGGGGTTGTGATTGTGCTATTGTGGTGGAGTTTCTTCTTTCTTGCACCTTAGTGATCATAGTACAGCTATATTCATCATAACTGGCACTTTGCTACCCTCCACGTGCTGCTTATAGTGCATCTATGTGTGGTACTTAGAGGTGCTTGCTTAAATGCTGCTCTTAATGTTTTATGTCCAGAGTAAGGATTTGTGTGACAGCAAAACGTGGAGCAAGAGGGGGTATGTTGTTATGGGGGAGGTAAAACCTGTGTGAGTAAATCATACCCAGAAGGATGTTATTTCTGGGTGTTGCCAGCACGCTCCTGCCTTTTCCCAATGGACAAGCGGACTGGACTGTTTAATCATTAATCAGGGAGGAGTGAAAAATAAATGTCCTGCCTAGTATGTTATCTCTCTTAAGGAAAAAGATATTTGGACAGTTTTACCATTTTCTTGCAGCCCAACTCAGTCTTTGCTCTAGGGAGACAGGTCATCTTAGACCTGTTGATCAACTGTTTGTAAAGGGAAGAAAAAAGAATCAGAGGTGCAGAGCAGCAACACAAAACATGGAAAGTAGAGATCAAAGGGATCTCGTAAGTTCCAACTAGAAATCACCAGAGCTGGAGTTCATATAGGAATGTTGTTAAGCAAAATTGTTAAGAGTTGACTAACAAAATGCTACTGTTTTCTCTTGTTTCTTTTCCTGTATCTTCATTCTGTTTTATGCAAGAGGTTAATCCTGCTAAATTTCTTGAAATAGTTTCCAATCGGAGACCATACCGAGAGTACTATGTGGATGCCTTAGGAGAGCCCTCAGAGAAAGCCTGGGTTGCTGGAAAAGCTATTGTCCTCTTTGAAGGAAGACATCAGTTTGAAGAGCTGCCTATCCTTCGGAGAAGAGGAAAGCAAAAAGAAAAAGGCTACAAACATAAGGTAAAAGAGCTGTTTTTCTCTAGTATGTTTTTGATTCTTTGAATCTGCACAGTAAAAATATTCCTTTGTGTCTAGAATTGCACTTCGACAGCTCTCTTTTGTGGCAGTGATTCTTAGCAACAGAGCCAGCAAAGCGATTCGTTGCATCCTTCTAACAAGCCTAGTTTATAAAGCTGCCAGGAGTTTCTAGGCTCTCTTCTGTGGCCTGTAGCTTTTGTTGCCCTACAGAGCTGAGAGGCAGCGGAGTTCAGGCCTCCCTGTCAGCATGAGACTTGTTCAGCTGTGCAGTCGTCTCCTATTGCCAATTACAGGGCGCTTTTAAATAACTTCCTCTGCTCCCTGGCAGCCTCTTTTGGCTGGTCTGAAGTAGAGGTGGAGTTGCACCCTTACTAGATGTGTGAGTGAGATAAAGCAGTGGGGTTTTAAACCCTGCCTCAGCAATTCTCTTTATAGAAACCTGGGGGTATTTTAATTTGACTTGGAAAGTATCAGGGAGCCTGCAAGGATAAGTTCTGTGGCTCACTGCATCCACCTGCATTTGCCTCTTTTCCAGACTTAACGGCCCGAGGCAGTTGTGGCCAGTGCCATGGAATGTGGCACAGAGCTCTCTTGTACACCTTTAGGAAGGAGGATGGGGAAATTCACTTTTTAGAATTTTAGAATTGCTAGAGAAGTGCAGAAGCTCCTGCGTTACTGTAAGAGACACAATGATGTCTCTCTTTTTTTTCTTTTTTTTCTTTTTTTTTTTTGACACTGACTTACTAGGGGTTAATTAATTAACCCCTGCTGATGGAAAATGCAATGTTGTTTTTGGATTTCCCTTTTCCAAGATAATGCTCAATATCTTCTCTCAAGGCCCGTATCTCTTCTCTCAGGGCCCTTCCCCTTGTGCTCGCAGCTTCCTAGTCACTAGTTATATGCTCTGAAGTTGCCTTTTTGGTTTTAGAACATAAAGCATTTCATGGGTGAAGTCTTATCCTGTATGTAAACTGCTGTGCCACTGTGGCTGCAGCAGAGGCAATTGGATGTTTGTTGCTTGCATAAATGGCCAGGTTTGCATCCCCAGAATTCCAGATCTGATGCAAGCTGAGAGTGTTTAGCTGCTTTGCTACCAGGCTGCATACCCCTTTGTTATTTGCTGAGATGAGACTTTTTGTTTTCTACACTTTTTCTTTTAAAACAAAAGAAATTTGAGTTGTTCCTCCTGCCTTGGAATTGGTTTTGATTTTAGGAGCAGTTTTGAAGCTTTTGATTTACTCCCGTGCAGCCAAGAATAACATGCACAAATACGAAACCAGTTTCTTTTTGTTTTAGATGTCAGCAGAAATTTCTCTGCGATATGCAGAGTTCCTTTTGTTTTGTGCTRAAGGTCCAGGGATAAAGCTGGGAGACGTCTAAGTGATAGAAATGTTGAATTTGTTGAGTGTATTTTAGTTGTGTATGTCTGGATCCCATGTTAGTGCCTAGGTACGCTGATGGAGAGGGCAAATTGAAGTCAAGTGATGTGGGAAGAAGAAGGAGAGAGCAAAGCAAACATGTCTGCTCGGATATTGTGAGAAAATGATGCTGCAGTTGCCTCGGCTTTGCACTTCTGTGCCAGGGCTCCATCCGCATCCGCCTTGCAGACCGGCGCCTCCAGGAYGTGCTGGGGTGCCAGGACGTTCGCTCCCTGTGACACCTGTGCTAGGGACCGTTTTACTCTTTGGGGAATGTGCATGGATTTTTATTAGCTGTATTTGGAGTGCCGGGTATTTGTCCAGAAGAAATATTTTCTATGTCCTCTTTGCAGTCCGCCTTGCCTCTGGGCATCTGTGCAATTGTCCCGTAGATAATAAATGCAGAACTGTTGCTCTGTTCTGTGCTGTGTCCATTTCTCTCTCCCTTTTACCCTGTTGGTTCCCCCCTCAAATTTTTTCTTTTTCTTTTTTTTTCTTCTTTTTGTCTCCTCCAACTTCAAGGTTCCTCAAAGATTTATGGCTAAATGGGAAGTCAGTGTTGGACAGGCAGAAGACCTTCTCCTCGGGGGGCCAGAGGATCAGAAGTGCAGCCAGAGCTCCAGCGAGCTGGACAGCGAGAAGGAAGCGCCCTCGGAATACTACACCAATGGCCCCAGAGCAGAAAGGGACAGGCAGCTGAATGGTTGTTTTAAATCCTTGGCATTTGACTCCAGACACCCCGTCAGTGAGAAAGGAAAGTTGCACATTAAACCACGCATGAAAAAGAACTCTGACAGYAGAAAAAGGACTAGAGTAAAAAAGAGTGGCACAAGAGGGGACRCACCTAGGGGCGAAAACAAAGACAAGACATCAGAGAGCTTGGTTAGAAACATGATTGCTGGGGACCTACCAGAGAAGCATGCATCTCATGAACTTCGGCGCATCGCGAGCAGTCTCACAGCATCCAGTGGCCCCAGGGAAAACCATTTGCTTTCGTCCTTTGGAGAAAGACGCTTTGAAAAGGCAGCTTTGAAACCAGAGTATGAGGCTCGCAAAAGCGATACTCTGAAAAACACCCTCCAGGGGGATTTGTTTTCCAATGCATCTTTGGAAAGAGAGAAGAACTCCCTGGGCATTCTGTGCAGTTCCAAATTGCAAATACACTATTCTGCATCCGATTCTGGTATGGAGAAAAAGCAAACCGAGTCGGATACATCCTCTTCCTTCTCTGATGATGGAAACAGTGATGTAGATACCATGGACCAAAGTTCAGAGAGAGCCTCTAGCACGCTTGAAGTTAGTGATTCTTCAGATAAAATGGAGAAGGAGTTTCCTATGACGTCAAGTGGAAACATTAAGCTTTCCATGTACCTGTCTCAGAAGAGCAACAGAAGGGCCAAGAAGAAGTCGCACAGAGATCGCAAATCTCGGGGAGGTTCGGTAGCCAGCAGACTTGATGCTGAGTTTGCAGATGGGGAACTTGAAGGAGGCTCCTCTGATGCCGAGATGTCACTGATGGCTCTTGAGTGCTCTTCAGACGTGAGAAATGACAATCTTTCCCGAGCAAGCAAGCACACTACTCCCCAAAGCGTTTCCAAGGACAGCTCCTGGGCCGCCGTTCCAAAGCAAGCGATCTTAAAAACAAAAAGCATGAAACTGTCCCGGATCAGGAGTATAAAATGTAAACATAAAGAAAAAGTTGCTGGCTTGGAACCTTCTCTCGCGGAAGAGGAGCGCAGCATGAATTGCTGCTCTCCTGATACCAAAGGTTTCTCTGGCCTTCACAGAGAGTCTCTTCCTAAAGGTGGAAAAGTTGATGGTCAGAAACTGTTAAACAACATGCACGAGAAGGCCAGGGATTCTGCTGAAATAGAGACAGCCGTGGTGAAACACGTCTTGTCAGAGCTGAAGGAACTGTCTTTTCGGTCCATAAATGATGATGCTGGCGTCTCTGGCACTCCAAAGGCCACAGTACCTTTACTTTTCTCTTCCACTTCTGGTCACAGTCGTTTGCCTATCGAGCCAGATTACAAATTCAGCACCTTGTTAATGATGTTGAAGGATATGCATGATAGTAAGACGAAAGAGCAGCAACTGATGGCTACTCAGAATATGGTCCCGTATCGAAATACCAGTACGGCTGACAGCTCTGGAAGCAATTCTGCGAGTGGCCTGAAGTCCTTGGCTGTTGTAGGCCCCCCATATAAAGTAGAAAAAAATGGGGATTGCGTCCAGGAAACAGTAAATCCAAACTCCAGTATAAGCAACTCCTCATTTTCACGCAATCCTACAACCAAGTTAACGGGGATTGGGACTAGCAAAAGGGATCCCACGAATACGGCTGTTTCTGGGACAAATGGCACAAATTGCGTATCCAAACGCAACTGTTCAAAGCCTAAGCAGCCATCAAAACTTGGAGATAAAACAGTTTCAAACAGAAAGGACTTAAAACCAGGAGGGCCAAGTAAGTTGCTAAGTCGGTTATCCAGAGATTCAGGAGAACATGCATTCCGTGTTCGTGGTTTGGTTACCCGTCCTCTAGGTAATGAAGCAGAAGATACTGGGAGGAAAGAGTCTGTTGATTTAACAGAACATTCAACTGATGAAGACTCTGCCTGTTTATCTGATGACAATTTAGATCATATTGGAAGGAGACCTGAACCTGGTAGAAATATTGAGAGCTGCATTTCTGCTGAAAACGGGCAGAGTCCAGACTTGGATTCAGAGGCAAATAGTGAGAGCTCTCTTGGTGATGAGTCTAATGATATGAATTATGTAGCACCCAAAAAGCGATGGCAGCGTTTTAACCAAAGCAGTGCTAGATCCAATAAGCACATCAGTAGATCTAGGGAACAAGGAAACTTGGAGAGTGCCTTTGGCCTGAATTCTCGTGGCTTTTTGCTGAAGGGGAATGAGTGCTTGGGACGTAGGCATTCCTCTCATTCGAAGGTGCTTGAGGGAGACCTAACAGATCAGGACTATGAGAATCATTTAGACTTAGTTGAGAAACGTTTGAATGTATGTGGTAAGCCAAACAACAGTGTGATGGACTCAGAAACAGATCTTGGCAGCTTTGCTCCCCAGTCTGAATTCTCTGCACAAGGTAAGGGAGCTGGACTTGCACCAGAGTGTGTATATTTGTATACGTTTTATAATCTTTTATTTAAAACACAAATTATGGAATTTGGGGCTATGTAACAACATGGAGGATGCACATATCTCATCTGAAGGAAGTGTGTTGGTTTTGGGGTTCTCCGTAAGGGTGGAGAACAAAGGGGGTTCTCCGTAAGGGTGGAGAACAAAGGGGGTTCTCCGTAAGGGTGGAGAACAAAGGAGGTGGATTGATTATGGGGATTTATTTCTCACCGCAATGCAAGGTATAAATTACTCATGCTAATGACTTTGAGCTTTTTCTTTTTTTCTTTTTTTTTAATTGTACCTTCATGCCGTGGTCCATAGCCATGTGCTATTAGCTGTACAGATCAACGTGGACGTAGAATCCATGTTTGCTTTCTCCTGTAGGATTTCATCAAGACTTCTGTTGGGTTCTTGTTTGTTTGAGAGCGGAAGTTTATTAGCTGCTGGTAACCCCACAGATTTCCTAATTTACAGCTCCTATGGGGCTACCTGAGGGATAAGGAGAGAACAGAGGAGAGGGAAAGTTGCCATGGAGCGTGGGACTGAGATGGGTCTGCAGGAAGGTAGGCAAAGTAAGGCAACTACCAAAAGGAGACGTGGAAATGAGGAAAGTCTGAGGGCTGCGAGGTCCARCAGCTCTGCCTCTACCCTGACGGCCATGGAAAAATCAAAATGAAACGTTGAYGATGATTTCACCAAACTGAATGGCTTTAATCTGTTCACAAGGGATGTTGTAAGTGAGTATAAAGGGCAGAATTTTGGAACCTCTGTGTTACTGCTCCTGCCCGCGTGCCCGTTTGGACGTGCGTGTGCTTGGTCATTGGTGGCCCCAATGCTGGCCACTTCCCTGCTGGAAGTGGCCCCTGCACCCCTGCTTCAGCGCAGAGGCACCCAGCACCTGCCTCTGTGCTCAGAGGGACCGGGAAAGGCAAGTCCCGACAAGCACAAAAATGAGCCCATAGRGTGTAATGCACCGGGCAGAAGTTCTGTTTTGAAACCATGACAAGCTTAAACGTTCATTAGCTCCCCTGACTGTGGCTGTGTGGGGTTTTTTTTTTGAGGATTTAAGTAYGCACGTCTTCACAAAGCAAGCAGAGAATAGATCCTTTGTCCTGGATTTGTGTGTATAGATGGACCCTACTGCAGAGGGGTGTCACAGCCTGACCAAGGAGTTGAATTCCAGCCTTAATCTAGTTGCAGCTGCATTCTCATGGCTTCAGGATATACATACATATATATATCATTATGTATATATAGTGATTGAAAAATCCCTCTCTGTTGCTATGTGAGATGGAGTTGCAAGTCTAGAGAGAGAACTAGAAACCAATAGTTAATAAGGGCTAACGCTGCTGAGAGGAAAGGAAAAAAAAACCAGCCGAGCGAGGCAGATGGCTGCCCGGGTGAGGTGGCACTTGGAGAGCAGAGCTGTGCAGGTGCTGCGTGTGACAGTGCAACACGGGGACCTTCCCAGGGCCTGCGTTCGCCTCACACATGAGAGATCAGCAGCCCTGGGGTAACCCAACGCCCCTGCCCTAAAAAGCAGCTGGGCTTTGGGGCACATGTGATGCCTGYCACTGCACTGCTCTGAACACGGGCCTCAGGGGCTGAGCAAGGAGCCCTTTGGCCAGTGGCACGGGGCTGCCACCGAGTGACCTGCCAACACTGGGACAAGTCCCCTCAAGGAAACTACTTTTCCTTCTCTTGTATCAGACAAGGTTGCTTCTATATATAGAGGTTAATTCTCTATTCTATAATTCTGTAGAGAGTATGATGTTGGGAATTTGGCTAACTGCAGCTGAAGAGAATGAGTTTATTAGTGTCTGGAGAAGACACAATTAATCCTTGGCTGCAGCAGGCAGAAGATCAGCAAAAGGGGGCATTAGAGTTTGCATTCAGAACTGTCGTTTCCACTTAGCACAAACTGTGTAATTCCTCATCTTAATTGAATGGCAATACTTGGGGTTTTTTTTCTGCAAACATTTTAATATTTTAGATCAAATAAGGCAGAAATGAGGACTGGAATTTGCTGATTTAGAGCATTTTTTAATAGTAATTCATAAGGTATGTAATTTGCCATGGCCTCTCACACTGCATTGGGGATTCTTGTACAGGATTCACTTTGGAAGCGAATGCAGTTAAGCCGTTCTTTTTGGCATAGGGCCGTGTGCTCTGCTGCATGGTTTTGAGGCTCCGAGAAGTTGCTTAGTGAACATATTCATCCTATAAACTGGTTATATACTGAAATATATATTTCACCCAGACACCTGCACAGAGCTTTCATAGTGGCTGAGAATAGCTGTGTTTGGAGAAGTTGTTCCATTCTTCTCTTTTGGCCAACTCAGATATTTTAATGCTTGCTTAACCACAAAGCCACAATAAAGTGTAGCAATGTTGTCCAACATCCCTGTTCTTAAGTATTGCCCTGGAATCCTTTGTTATGAAATGTTTCCACTTAAAAAAAAAGGAGAATAAAATAAAAGCCACCTCCTACACATGAAAAGAAGTAAAGAAGAGAATGTATTTGCTGCTTGTTCCAGCTTTGCAGGGACTGCGAAAGTTCAGTGACCAAGAGTGATCTTTTGAGAATATTGCTTAAGAATTCTGAAAACTAAATAAGATGAAAAGGAGTCATTTGGTCATAGATACCCCAGGAAATGCCAAAAATGAATAAAATTACATTGTGTTCCTTTTGAACCTTGCTCAGGAGAGATGCCATAGAGTGTCTTTTTCCTTTTTAAAGGTCAATGTGCTGAGGTGTTTGAGGTRGTAGAGCATGGGTGGCTGTGGTTGTGCTGGGGAAGTACCCGCTTTTGGATTTTTCCTTTGTGAAGGTGCAGGGCTGTTCAAACTCACAGAGGGAAGCTGACCTTGAGGAGCTTCCAGCTGCTGCAGACTGGTCTGGTCACTCCCTGGTCATCTTGATTTCCTGGTAGGGTTTGTTGGGAAGCCACGGGAAGAATAAACAGGTTTGCAGCAGCAGGTGGGAATTGCGGGCACCTCTAGGTGCGGAAGAGGATGTGATGCTAGAGAGCAAACAGGAGGATCTTGGCTTGTCTGTTACTAGTAACTGAACTGTCCTTGGGAAAGCAGTGACTTTCTTTTGTCCCCACACTAAAACCACGGGAGTTTGGGTTGTCAGGAGAAGCAGCGTGAAGAGCCTGAGTTGGTAAACGGACTTAGCTTTGGGTAAACAGACTGCAAGAAGGTTCAGTACCATTCGTCTGCAGGTACGGGTGGAATTCCTGGGAGCTTCTYGGGCAGTTGGATAGCTCCTGCTGTGAATTCTCACCTGCTGAATTCCTGCTTGAAGTCTCTTAGGTCCTTAAAAATCCCACCTGCTATGGCAGGATTATAGAGAATGTGATGCTCAAAGATTATAATGCTGTATCAAAGGGAATGAAATCGTAGGGCTCTTTCCACATGGAGCCTCTGGAAGAGAAAGSTATGATCAACAGATCATAAGGAGCCTTTTGTCTTGTGATCTTCTTGGAAACATAGTCTTGAAGCTGCTTTCCTTTTTCTTAGTACATTCAGAGAGGAAACGCCTTAGAAAGCCAAGTAAACGGCTTCTGGAATATGCAGAAGAATATGATCACATATTTGCCCCCAAGAAAAAATCAAAGAAGAGCCAGGAGCAATTGCAGAAGGTAGGTTAAGGCAATTAAGCCCTTCCTGGCTGTTAATCTAGGGCTCTGGTTTGTGTCTTTCTTGCTTGCTGAGTTTTCTTGGGGTGTGCAGTGCTGTGCAGGATAAATGCTTTCATCTCCACGTTTTGCCACGCTAGGTGAATTCTGTGGTGAAGTCTGAATTTGAAGGAGGGCTCCCTGCAAAATTGAGTCCTGGGAGAGATGCCCAACGAGGGCAGAGCCCTTTGGTTTCAACTCCATCTTCAACCAAAGAGTCCCCTCCGGTCCTTGAAGCAGAGTGCTCCCTGTCAGAACTAGGATCCCATTCCACTGATCCCGCTGACCAACTTTTAGGAGGACATTCAGACTTTCCAGAGCTGGTGCTGTCTTCCTCAGATGTTTCCGAAGTTTCTGCTTCTCCAGAAGCAGAGGAGAGATTCCTGAAAACAGGTGAGTTGGGTGTTGTGTGACTCCGCTCCCACAAGTGACCGTGTCACAAGCTTGRTGGAAAATGTTGCTCCTGTCTGAGTGGAAAAAGGTTAAAAACTGTTGATCTGTTTTCTTGCTTTGCTGTGTTCAGTGATTGTTACTGGTGCTTAAAGGAGAGAGGTGAAGTGGGAAGTGGGTGGCCCAGTGAGCTGATTCTCTGCATCTCTGGTTTTAGCATTCTGTAGTATATGACGCCTTCCACTTAAAGACACCATACGCCAGAAGTCACAGAGTGCCCATTTATCCAAATTAAAATAGCCATGAGTCCTTTTCTGAATTCTTGTCATCTTTGCTTGTCTTGTGCTTGCAACAAATTGCGTTATTTTTGGCTTGAAAGAGTCCTGTTTAAACATTTTCAATGTGCATTGACATGTTGCAGTTAATGTGCTAAGTTACTCAAGGAGTGGGCTGACATTTTGGTSTCATGGTGAGCTCAGGAAACTGTAGTACAGAATTCCCCTTGGACCTTCTTTTTATTCTTTTATTGTTATTTCTTTTCAGCAGGGCATTGTGTATGAAGAGAGATGTAAAAGACTGTGCCCCTTTTCAACAAGGTCCATATCAGAGTGCAGCTAACAGTGTGCTCTCTGGTCGTGGCTAAAGAGTGTGCAGGGTTAAGGCCTTGGTGTTCTGGCTCCATGAACTTGGAGGCAAAAAATAAAAATAAACCAAGTGAGAGACTGAACAGGCAGAAAGGTGCAGACACAGGGAAAACAGCCTGTTCTTTTTGTGGGAGGTTGTGAGCAGCAGAAGAGAATGGAAAGTGGAGAAGATTAAAGGAAATCAAAGGGGATGTGAACCCGAGGTTCAGGATGCAGGGGAGCAGTACAGAGCACCGTAGTGGGAGCAGGCAGCCCTCAAGCAGGGGACCCAGAGCTCAAACTGCGGGCAAGGAGACTGCCCTCAGAGGTGATACTGTGAGGTCCCTTCAGGGCCCTGATGCACTCGGTGCACGCAGAGGTGTGTGTCCGAGCAAAGATGGAATCAAGGATGAGAACGGAAGCAGTGAACGGCCTTTGGATTCACTTGCCCTTCCTGCTCATTACACTGTTAGACAGGATCTGGAAGCTGATGCGGGTTGAAACTATTTTTTTTCTCTCTCTTTCTCTCCCCAGGTAGATTTTAGTCAGGATCAGGGCTAAATTCACCACAGTGTGAACACTGGTGTGAGTGGTGGGGCAGTGAGAGCAGGAGGAGGCAGGGCCACACCTGTGGTAGGACTTTTTTATACCAGATCAAAGTGATTCTGAAACTTTTAATCTGAATTGCACTGCGTGAGTGTGTTATCTCATGGCATTAACTTTGTAGTCTGTCTTCTATGTATGGATTTTTTTTTTGTATAAATATTTAATACTGAAGTATGCCTGAAGGTCACAGCAGGTAGAGGTCTTTTTTTTGCGAGAGCTGCACAGATGCAGATAATTGGCATCTCTCCCCAAAGAGCTTATAGTCTATAGCTTATAGGTGAAGCACAGTGAGAGTTTTGAGCTTTTCATTGATATTTATTCATTGGCATTAGTCTGATTAAAGAAATTCCTCGTTTGTCTAACAGAAAGAGTTTTATTGCAGGAAACTTCGAAAGCAAACGTCAGAGGAAGCCCACGAAAAAGCTTCTGGAATCGAATGATCTGGACACTACCTTTATGCCAAAGAAGGAGGAATGGACTCCCCCAAAGAAGGTATTTCCTTTCCAGGGTTGTGAACACTAGGTAGAAAAGGAGCCCAGCTATTACACTCACATATTCTCYTCAGTAAAGCAGGGGCTGTGGTTTTCTGTGGCTGTAGTCCAGGAGGGAAGGTCCACCCTTCCCAAAGGTGTTGGCTGTTGTGTTATGATGAAAAAATCTCTTGGATACCGAGGTGTTCCCCACCCCTCCCCACTTATAATGGGAATTGGGAAGTTCTGGCTGTCAGACATCCTCCCTTTATTGATTTGTGTGGGAAAAGGATCTGCCCAAGTGCTGGCTGGGAAGGTGTGAGCAGAGTGTTCTGGGCAGGGGGTTTCTGTCGCAGGGAATCCCTGTTATGCTTCTCTGTAGCTTGACCTTGAACCGAAGGCTTTGTCCTTTCCTGTCAGATTTCCTCTGAATAATGTTTCYTTCGTTACCCTCCCCAGGGGGCTGGTGAATGGTATGTAAGTGGAGAGCTTGTAGCAGGAGGGAGGCTTGAGCTGTATCGCATATGCAATATGCAATGTTTGAGTCGGATTTTTATTTTTAAATTAAAAAAACACTTTATAATAAACAACAATAATAAACAATAATAATAAACAATTAAAAAGAGTTATTTCAAGTGTTGCACCCATATAAGATTCATCAGTGTCCCTAAGGTTTATTAAGAGCGGTGTTGCTTTCCTTTTCTCTCCCTGTTTGGCACAGTTATGGGTGCAGTAGAGCAGAGGCCAGTGTGTTTCAGTCATAGATGTTAAAGCAAGAGAGAGAGTCTTTAGTCTCCAGTAACTTCCAGAGTATTTAGCAGCCTTTCCAGAAGAGCTCAGGAAGCAGTAGGTGACCATGGGTCACATGGGACACATTCCTTCCTTTCCAGAGACTGTTGACTTTTCCACCTGGAATGTATCAAACACAGAAAGCAAATGTTTTCTTGTACAGTCTCTAATCATTGATGACTTTATGATCTGAAATGCTGCTTGTRTAGTTGTTTGTGAAGGTGCTAAGCGATTGAGGGACGAGCATCTCTGACCTGCATCTGATTACAGCTGGTGAGTTGTGTCTGTGCTGTGTTTTTTGTAGGGCAATCGCCCTTCCGAGAGTGACAGCTCTGAGCTCTATTCTCCAACCCACTTCTCGGACCTGGGAGAAGGTAAGTGAAAGATGGGACCACGGGGACAAACTGTTGACACTGGGTTACAGCCTGGCATGTAGCCYGTATATAAGGTCTTGTGTGTGCTGGCTGGGCTCTCCGAGGGTACTTGCTTCATCTGAGGCAGTGGCAGAAGATAGAGGTACTGTGGTCATTTAGCAAAAGTGCTTTTGTGTATGTCTCCCCTATCGAAAGTAGAAATGCAGGATTCAAAATCACCCTTCAAGATGTTCACTGTTGATTCTTAGTCTGGTGCTTGAAGGAAACCCATCACCATGGGTCCCATACGGTGCAGCGTCTTGCCTGGTGTTGAAAGCAGCCTCAACAGTGGCTGCTCTGTGCAATGAAGAATTATGCAGTTATTCTTGTCTTCTGTGTGTGGTGGTTTGGGATTTATTTATTGATTTATTTTTCTCCTGTATTCACACTCTATCCTGTATTCTCCTGTATTCACACTGGTATCTATTATCAATGCAAAGAGAGCTTTTGGTGCAGTGTTTTGGGAGAAGACATCAAACCAGCATTTCATTAGTAATTTAAACTTTGCGTTAGTACCTTCTTTCTCGCTCTGGAACAGTCTCAGAAAAGTCAGAGTGATGTTTTTGGCAGCTCAAAGAAGCTTAGTCCAATACGAATCGGTGTTGTCCAGGTCTTCTTGATGGCTGCAGGACAGAGGGCAGTGCCTGGAGGCCGATGTCACCCCAGGGTTTACARCCCCAAGGCAGTAGGACCCGGTTTGAAGCTATCAGCAGGAGTGTGGAATGTGCTCATGCTGCCTGTAGCAGGAGAGTTATTTCTGTATTTATCTTGAGTGGTCTTTCTGTCTCATCCCAGCTCCTGAAAAGCTCTTGGAGAAGCAGCGGAAGCGGAAGAGACAGCGCCATCCCTCTGTTGCAATGCACTCCAAGAAGGAGAGGAATGAGGAAGGGCTAGGGGAGGCCCCCCACTCTGAGGTACTGTTGGATTTTCCTTCGTGCTGTGATCTCTGTAACCTGTCTGCCACTTCAGAGCACTGTGCAGAAACAAGGCCAGGGAATCTTTGGCTGTTGTTTCAGCTGGGRCTTTGTCCCACTGATGTAGTGGCATGAACCTGAGGTTGAAGCTGAAGGTACCACCTTGATTTAGTAGCTATTAGATGGTGACTGCTTAACTCTGGCTCAGATTTTAAGCTGCTACTCGGCTCCTTCTCCAGGAGAAGGCCTGTTTGGATCTGACAAACCCAGGTTTTGCCTGGCATTTTGCTTTGCAYGCCAGAAGATCATCTTGCTGTAAAAGGCCTTGTCTGCTGGTGGTGGGAACCTTGCCGTTTTGCATACCAGTATGAGGTGCTTGCCCTATTGGGCTAGGGAGAGCTGCACATCCATGTTGGAGAGGGTGGGGGGGTGTATGTGGCTGCTTGCAGGAGTCCCTCGTTACCCTCTGCCATCCCTCTTCCCACCAGGAAGGGATAATTGGGGCAGCCTCCTTCTACTGCACCCCAGCAGAAATGTCGCACAAATATCTCTGACAAGCACATTTTGCCTTTTAGGAATGAGCCAGGTATCACCAAGTGTAGGGGAAGCAAGACTTTTCCTGGGAGAGGCAGGACAACCCTGGGCCTCCCACCATCACCTCTCCTCCAGTTGAGCAGCAGGCTGTTCTGTCAGGATAGTCAGTATGTATTTCAGGAGCTGATTATAGATACACACACATATATATATATATATATACACTGTTATATTTGTTACTGTTCTACAACTTCCAGCAGAGCACAAGCAGCACACACTTGTCTGAGCGGTGCCAGCCGCCCTGCTGTGTGTGGCTCCTGCTTTTTGAGAAGGGCATTGCTGGTGGGGATGATAATTCTGAGGTTGGGGCAATGCCCCTGGGCTGGGCAGTCCCTCCTGTGCTGCTGTAGCACACAGGCCATTCTGTTGTTCCTCAACTGTGCTCACCTGGAATCGTGTTTCAAGAAACCTATACTAATATGTTTGCCGATGCTGGGGGGTAGTTGACACTGTTAGACACCCACGAAGATGCTGGTTTAGCTCACAGTGAGCAAGTTACGCATGTGTCTTCTATAGGGCAGAAATAAGGGAGCAGTTCAGAGCTCCAGGGTAGCAAGGCCAAAGATCCAAGTGTCTCATTGTTCACTGCAGAGGAAGCTCGGACAATCTGCCTGTCTGCAGCAGTCTAAGGCATCTGTATTGAGTACGTGAAGTTGGGTAACATCAGTGCTTGACACTTCTCTTACCAGCATCCATTTCCCTATTGTTTGTGGGTCTCGTGAGCCATTTGGCTTAGATGGGTGCTGGTGAGTATTGGGAACTGTGGAGATTCAGTTACATTTTCACTTGGAATTCAGACCATGCTGGTCCCTAAGTGACTGTCCACACACCAGGCAAGGAGACCCCCTTTCTGCTGAATGGTGCTGAAAGAAATAGATGGTCTGATGATACAGCAAAATGAAGCCTTGGATCCAGCTGCTTTCAGAGGAAAAGAGGGCAGAGGAAAGCTTGCCCACCTGGGCTGAAGTAGGCAACTTTCTCTGACCCTGCCTGTCGATGGAGCCAGAAATACAAGTTCACAACATCAGGGAAGCGAGAGACTGAGAGGAGGGGATGGAAAATGCTGTTGAAATGGTTGTCAGGGTTGTGAGCCAAGGTCGGGCTGTGCCAAAGAACAGGCCAGGCTCTGGAGGATGTTACCAGATGCAGCAGCAGAAATAGCTCTGGAAGAAGACCCAGGATGAGACCTGCCCTCTGTAGGAGGTATGTAGTTTTACAGTGCTCACACATTGGGTAGGGGAGAAGGGAGTAGCGTGACAGGTTCTTTTGAGTCACGGCCTTGGATGGCAATTTCCATCTGCCTGTTCCCAAAGCAGTTATCTGGCCTTGCCTGTCTTATCGGCTCTGGCATTCCCTACCCAACGTGGATGTAGGAAGCTTTAATTCAAATAAGGCTTGGGTTTCTGTTTGCAAATTGACCAGATATTTGCAAAATGTAGCGCAAAAAAGGATGGATTTAGACTGAAAAGATTTGGGCTAAGGCATGCTGTGCCACACTGAGCAGTTTTGCTACCAGCTACTGCTGGAGATGGGGTTGCTGGTTAATGTTACATAACCCTAGGTGCATTTTGTTCTGCCAGTCCATCCGCGTGGCGAGCATCAGGGTTCCAAATAAGCAGTCCCAGAAGCTGAGAGCCAGAAGCTTAGAACGATGACCCTCTTCAAAATCCCCCGTGCAGCAAGGCTGAATCTCTACCAGTTCTCTGGTGTCCTTCATCCGATCAGGAGTGTATCCATTAAGGCACCCTGTATCTCCTGAGGTGGGTCCTCAGTGCCCCTAGGGGAGCGGAGCTCACCGGGWGTCTGTGGCGCTGGGGCCCCAGAGCGAGCAGGAGCAGGAGCAGGGGCTGACCTTGTTTGCCGGTGCCTGTAGCTCATTAACCCTGCTCTTGTTCTCTGTTACAGTGACCCCTGCAACCCCGAGGTCACTGCTGAGCTGAGCAGAAGAGGGAGCACCAATGTAGGAGTAGGAGGACCTGAGCTGTACCCAGGTCTCCAGTGCTGCTCCTGGAGCTGCAGGCTGATGTGGAAGAGAGGGCTCTCAATGCACTCTATGCATGCAGGCTCGAAGCAGAAGTAATCACCTGAATTTTAGGGCACTGCATCCAGCCTTTGGGCGAGAGTGCTGTCTTATGACAGACTGTGGCCTTGCTAGCGGAAGGAAGGCTGCAGGGACAGGGATGTCACAGGGAGCACTTGAAGATGCTACTGAGTATAGAGGCAAAGGCACCAGTAGTGTTGTTAGCTGTTCCTTAAGCAGTGTGGTAGAGACCTTTYGTGTCCCTCCAGCAGGGCTGTGTTAGGGTGACACAGCTTCAGTGCCCTTTCYCAGCCTTCCCCCAGGCTGTAGAGCTGCTGGCCTTCAAGTGTGTTTGTAATAGGCTGTAAGGTTGTACACTGTGTGGTATAAGGAGTTGGCAGTAATTTGTAGCCAGGAATGTGCCTTTTTATGCTCAATAAAGGAAGTTGATACCATTCATCTTTGCATTGTGTGTTTTAATGTACCATCAGTGCATCTGTGCTTCACTGCTCCACAGAACTCACATGGCTTTAAAATATCCCCAAATGAAAGCATACTGTTGCATGCAAAGAATGAAACACAGCAAAGGAAGCAGCTTTATCTGACCAGGACACCAACTCCAAGTTCTTTCCACTTAAGGACACAAAACTTTCCCCAAATTTGTTTCGCCAGGCTAATTGTTTGTCCAGAGTGTATCTAATTCAGCTTGCAAGCTGTGTTCACATTCCTTCTAGCGTTAGTGGCACAACATTTCTGATGGGTATTCTCCCATACGGAAACTAGTGTCAGGCTCTGTCTCCTGATTGCTTTTTGGATACCCAGTCCTGGGCATCCTCAAGTGTATTGAGAGTCATTGCTACTTTAGACAGGAGTTTGAATTCCTGACAAGGTCTCTGAAGTGAACAGTACACATCTGGATAGACACTGGGAATGGTTGTGTGACCACAGGGGGATGTGGTGGCTAGTCCCTGGAATCTCCTGGTTACAGCACAGTGCTGTGGTCTGGGTGATTAAAAACAAAACAAAACAAAAAACAAAACAAAAAAAAAAACCAACAAAACAAAAAAAAAAGGCAGACTTGTAAAATGTTCTTGCTCAAAGCACTTAGCCAGTTCCTAAGCAATATATTGGTGCAGTGATGAAAGTCCTGTAGGGCTTCCCCTCTATGGAGTTTTGGCTGGAGCTCATAAAAGACTGCAGAAATATTGYCTAGACTGTATCTAAAAGCACAGGAGACTTCCATGTGAAATCATCTGTTTTGATGAAGGTGAAGGATGTTCTGCCATGTGCAAGTGTCTAATACAGCTGCTGCTCTTCTTCTCTTGAGCAGTGTCTGGGCAGGTTCATGTGCATGTGAAAGGGCATCCTTCCACCTCAGGAAATGCTGTGGCCTCTTTGCAGGATCTGCCAGCGTGGCCCACGTGGCTGCAATTGAGTCTCCGTTATGCAAAGTCCCCTTGTTTTTCTCTTGGCTCTCTTAGGTGTTGCACTCAGTACTGTCACAGTCACCTGTGTGTCAAGTAGTTACTATAGACTTGCCACCTCGGGCAGGAGGGGTGGTGTGAATGTCCTGCTTTGCTGTTCATATTRGGGCAGGCCTGCTAATTGCTAGCACTTGTGGAGGTGTAGCATGCAGGGACAGTACAAGCTGAGAAGCGTCTGAAGAAAATCAGTTCGTTTGGTGGGTGAAACCTGCAGTAAAGATGGTTTGAAGGTTCTCGCTTGCATTTGCAGCATGAGCAGACATCATGATCTGGGGCACCTCTGTGCTGTCTGGTGCAGGGCGTGATTTTCAGACTCTTCCAGCCTGCCTAGTTTGTTTCTATACAGGTTAACCTTTGTTCCACAACCATGACTTTTCCACTTTCAGAGAGGGGATATACGTAACAGAGTAGTTGTATTGAATGTGTGTGCATTTTGAATGATTTAACAAGCTAAGAGCTCTTTTCTTCCCTTCCTTAAAGCTTTTGKTGGGACTGAATAGGGGTGTCTACCAGGGTGGGTAACAGCCTGTAGTGCAGTTTGCAGGCTGACTGCCAAACCTGAGTGTATTTGATAGTCCAATTTGCAAGTCAGGACAGGAAATACTGACAGCCTAAATTTTGGATTTTTTTTTTAAAGGGAGAGACATCAGTTCACGGGACTGCTGCAAGCCCCAAAGAGGGCAATGAAGAAGGGTCTGAGAATGACCACGGAGTGCCTTCGTCCAAAAGGATGCAGGGGGAGCGCGGAGGAGGAGCAGCTCTCAAGGAAAATGTCTGTCAGGTAATGTCCTTGAAGGGATGTCTGAAACTTTACCACCCTCCAGCTTTCTCATGTAAACTCTGGCATGCACCAGTCCCCCTGCTAACTAGGTAGCCATGAGGCACATAAAGATTTAACCTGCTTTTTGTGCACTTGGGGAAGCTTTGACTGCTCTAGAGCTCRTAACACCCCTTGTTCTGAACTGAGCCTTCCCTCTGTGAGCGTGTCTCATTCTCCTAAAAGTTAAGCATGTGAGAAAGGAAAACGTGACCAACGTATGACTTATTTTAGCTGATGCACAGCAGCAGGGACCATGTAGCTAGGGCAGTGGTGCAGAAACCACCCCAATTTTCTGGAGCAAGGAGAGCTCAGGCGCTTCCTGCAGCATCCCTGCTGGAGCCTACCGGATGCTGGGTTGCTGCTGCTCTCCATGCCTCGGTGGGAATGGGAATTGCTCGGAGCTGATGTTCTGCTTCCTTCCCTGCAGATCTGCGAGAAGCCAGGGGAGTTGCTGCTGTGCGAGGCGCAGTGCTGTGGTGCTTTCCACCTGCAGTGCCTTGGGCTCTCCGAGATGCCAAAGGGCAAGTTCATCTGCAATGAGTGTTCCACAGGTATGGCAGCCTTCGGGASAGCAGGACGGGGGGCTCCCTGTGTGCACGCCTGGCGCTTTTTCACTGCAGTGTTTATGCCTGCAGTAGGGCCATTAACTGCCTCTCAGTTCTCTGCTTATCGACTTAAATGTGTGATGATGGTTTTCCAATTAACTGGTCTCATTCCGGAACAAATGTTCTTCAGGCAGGTGGGTTAGGAAGAAGGGAATGTTCAGAGTCTGGTGGGAAAGAGAAGGGGGAATTTTATATCTGATATTAGAGAGAAAAGAGCAGTAGGGAAGGATGAGTCCAGGGCAAGCTGGAAAGTGGGAAATATCAAAGTGAAATGGTTGATTTTTCTTTCCTCTTCCTTCAGCTCCAGGCAGCGTTCACAGTTCTAATGATGTTTGTCTCTGTTTGGAGCAGCAGTGCAGCTGCAGGCACAAGCAGCCTGCTGCAGCGTGCTGTGCTTTGGGACCGTGCAGTGGGCTGGGAAGCCGCACGGTGCTAACGTAGCTCAACAGCAGCAACCATGGCCGGTCCCTTGGCTCTGCTCTGTGGCTGGCATCACCTCTGCTGCTCTTTCTGCAGGGGTCCACACCTGCTTTGTGTGCAAGAGCAGCGGGGAAGACGTGAAGCGGTGCTTGCTGCCCCTCTGCGGGAAGTATTACCACGAGGAGTGCATACAGAAGTACCCGCCCACGGTGCTGCAGAACAAGGGCTTCCGATGCTCCCTGCACATATGTATGACCTGTCACGCTGCTAACCCCACCAACATCTCCGCGTCTAAAGGTACTGCAGTTCTCCAGAGTGCAAATGGGAGGCGATCAGAACCCCTGCTCTTTATGTTTCACAGAACCCCTGCTCTTTATGTTTCACAGAACCCCTGCTCTTTATGTTTCACGTCTGCTGTGCTGTTACATGGTGCACTAGTTGTTGGGATTGATTTTCTGTCCTAGCCACACTGCAAATGCTCCATGCACTTGCTGGGCAGCAGCTCCTCTCCAGGGAGCAGGGAGGAGGGGTCGGATGAGGTTCCTGCTCATCAGCACCTCTGATGGCCAGAGGCAGCAACTAAAATGTTCTTGTCTGTCCAGATACTTGGCTGTCTGCACGTCCAGCGATGTCACGTTCCTTTCTRGGCTTTGCTTAAGTCTCTGGATCTGTGCAGGCTCTCACGTTTCTCCTACTTACTTTTCACTCTTGCTAGTGCTGCAGTCAGTGCCTGTTTAGCTGTCAAGGCAATGGTGCAGAAAACAGCGTAGTACTGATTTTTGGTATTGTTTTCTTATTTATTTTTTTTAATGCAAATTCATCTTGTAGTGACACTCGTGGGTTAAGCTTCTCAGGCAAATATTTGTTTGAGCTGTTCACAGCGGTGCTTTGGCCTTTTTATTTCCCTCTGATTAAACCTAAAACATTTCTATGTGTCTTTTATATTTGCTTCCAAAAATGCCTGTCTTTAAATTCTCCGTATCTTAATACTGGTGACAATAATAATAATAGCTGTGTTTTTATCCTTGAACTCTGCTATGCCTGTCCTTTATTTCCATATACTGATACTTACTGTAATAGAAGTCACCAGGGCCCCTCAAGCCCACAACTGATCCCTTCTCCGCTGAATRTTTGCCTTGTGTTTTTCTGTCTTCTTAATGGGCAAATTTACCCCTTTCCTCTGATTTCTTCTCCCTGTTAATAATCTCCTGTGAGGAATTGAACAGAAGCACTGAGCAGTTTTGACTAAGTTAGATTTTAATACTCTCTAAATTCTCTGCTCTGGAGTTTGGTAGTAAAATAGTGAGGTGAGTGATGATGTTTTCAAAAGCAGCACAGATTGTTTTCCTGATGTTCAGTTAAGCACTTGGATAACCCTCTCTCTAGCTGCTCTCTGAACTGATTAGCTAATTCTGTGTGTGATAGCAGTGTTAGTCTGTGTGCTCTTGAACTGTATCTGAACCACATACTTCTAAAGAATAGATTTTCACTTCTGTATAATAGGTTTTGTTACAGTAAATAATTTGATGAAAGCTAATGAGTATGATGCGGTTATCTATAAAAATTAAAAGTGGATTTCTATTTCCAAAGATCACCTACGGTTGCTTGTTTGGTCCTCATATGCTACCAGAGACTAGTTTAGAGGAGAAAGGAAAACTTGGCTTCCCTTGGAGGCTCACTGTGTTTCCCACGCGTTGGTGCTAGGTCGCCTGATGCGCTGCGTGCGCTGCCCGGTCGCCTACCACTCCAACGACTTCTGCCTTGCTGCTGGCTCCGTGGTCCTCGCCTCCAACAGCATCATCTGCCCCAACCACTTCACAGCGCGGAGGGGCTGCCGCAACCACGAGCACGTCAACGTCAGCTGGTGCTTTGTCTGCTCAGAAGGTGAGACCATCTGCGCCAGGTCTGCTGGCACTGAGCAAGGCCCCGGTGTAAATGATAAACAGGAACAGAAACACCATCAGAAGAGCTCATTTCAACAGGTAGATGCTTTGCTGTGCACAGAGTGCCAGTGAAAATGGAAGAGAACRGGTTGTCTTCATATCCATCTCCATAGAAATCTAACTTCATCTAGGAATTTTTCCAGGTCCTTACAGAGGTTCTTTGTGCAATAGAAGTATGGAATGAGCTTCAGGCTGTTTTATTCTGTCTGTAAATGTAGAGGCCAGTGTTTCTGCCTGCTGACTCTGTTAAATATCTGCTGTTCTTTTGTAGGGGGCAGCCTTTTATGCTGCGAGTCGTGCCCGGCTGCCTTTCACCGTGAGTGTCTAAACATTGAGATGCCAGAGGGAAGCTGGTATTGTAATGACTGCAAGGCAGGCAAAAAGCCACGCTACAAGGAAGTAGTCTGGGTGAAAGTTGGGCGCTACAGGTAGGTGAAGGCAGAAGAAACTTGTCCCCGTTCCTTCTCCATGYGGTGGTCGTGGCATCCAAGACGAGAAGCTGCTCCTCCTTGTAGGGTGCAGTGCAGCAGTCTCTGACTTGCTTCCATGCATGCAGCTGCTGGTAAAGTGCATGTTTTCCTCCTCCTATAGTTTTCTTTACCTGCCAGCTTGGGTGATTGTCCTCACACCAGTGTTTTCCTGTGCCTCTCAACCCAGYAGCTGCATGTGAGCCCACTGCAAATGAGGAGGTCAAGGTTTCATCTGCCTTTCCCTCTGCAGGTGGTGGCCAGCTGAGATTTGCCACCCCAGGACAATTCCCGTCAACATCCAGAAGATGAAACACGACATTGGCGAATTCCCTGTGCTCTTCTTTGGCTCCAACGACTACCTGTGGACACACCAGGCCCGTGTGTTCCCTTACATGGAAGGTGATGTCAGCAGCAAAGACAAGATGGGGAAAGGTGTGGATGGCATATACAAGAAAGGTAACTCCTCTCAATCCGCAACGACTTCATGTTCTGTTTCTCCTCTTTCCCGTGTGGAGAGGTGGTGTTCTCATGAGAGAGACTGAGATCTTTTGGAGCTCGAGTTAACTAAATTGGCTAAGTAAACTGCTTTTTACTTATCATCCTGTCCATCCAAAATTTTCAAAGGTCTGAGTTCATGCAGGATGTGCAGATCTTGAACTCTTCTCTAGCTCTGCCAGAGCTGCCCTAAGCCAAGCTGCTGCTCTGTCAACTTCGCTGTGTCTAATACAGTCATTATCTATGATAAAAATGTAATTTTAAATATAGCTGCTGACACGTCTTCATAATAAAAGCAGGCAAAGCTAGCTGAGGGTTTGGATGCCTCATCACCTGCAGGCAAGTCCCTTACTGGAAGTCTTTCCTTCCTGCCCGTCTCGTGCACAGCTCTGCTGGGGAGCTTTGCCTGAGAGGGTGCGAGGTGCCCTTGTGAACACCCTGCGGCTCCGTGTTGCTGGTGGAGCTGTCGGATCGCGGTTGCTGCTGAGCTTCCCTGTGAAAGTCCAGCTCAGACACTTTTGGGCCTTTTGCAGAAATAGTGCTCCAGCAAACAGGGAGACAGGCTTTGCCCATACAGAGAGTGCAAGGGACTGAGCTTTGCACATGGGGTGGACGTGCACAGCCTGTCTTCAGGTGAGCAGAGAGACTTCCTAATAACACACACCGTTCTTTTCACTTAGCTCTCCAGGAAGCTGCAGTGAGATTTGAGGAGTTGAAGGCACAGAAAGAACTGAGGCAGCTTCAGGAAGACAAAAAGAATGACAAGAAACCTCCTCCCTACAAACACATCAAGGTGAGGGCAAGTGTGGGGGGACAGGTGCAGAAGTCGAGTGTTGAGCTATCAGTGCAGGTGATTTACAGGTATACAGAAACATTTCTACTGTTTGCACATCTGGCTGCATTTGAAGGTTGCTTTGGTCCCACTGGCATCTTCAGACATGCTGCACAGAAAGGATTCAGGTATCCACAGTGCTGTATGGAAGCTGGACACCAGTAATAGAGGTACTCTGATTTACTGGAACAGACCTGGACATCTCTGTTCCATGTCAGTTGTGTGGTGTGAAAGAAGCGTCTCTCTTCCTTGGGGACTTAAGGGAGAGCACTAGTACGATGAACAGTGTGCCCAAGAACCATGTGCTACTGGTGCAAGGTGGCCTTCCCACATGGTGTGGGGAAGCAGATGGATTGAGGTACAGTGGAGTAGAGCCGTGGGGAATATGGTAACCCAACCTGGAGCTTGGTAGTATCTTGTGTCATCTCTTGTGTCTCAGGGTTTTCTGTATCCATTGCTGATCAAACAGAACCACTAAAGCAGATGTATCAGTTGGAATATCAACCTTTCTGCAGAGTTTTGGGGAGCTGTTCAGATTTAGGGTTGTGTTTTGAGATAGATTTGGAGCAGTAAAAGAGAAGAGTACTACAAGGTGGAGGTGACTGAGAGGGAGAGGTARGGCTGAGGAGGTTCAGGCACATGAAGTGTGGGCCTCAAGTGGGTGGGAGGTGTGGAGAGCAGCGTGATCAGCAAACTAGGGACATGGAGAGTGTGTTCTTTCTTAAATYGCCGCCTCCTTTTCCTTTTTTTTTGTTTTTTGTTTTTTTGTGACAAATATGAAAGTTGAGCAAATTGCTGGCCTTTCTGTTTCTAGCTGGGGTTTCTAGGCAGGCAGGTAGATCCTGCCTGGCTTACTGAGCAGTGTGAAGAACACAACTGCTCGCTGTGGCACTGTGCCAGCAGCACGGGCCAGGCGGCTCCAGTGCTGGAAATCMTGTTTCTCATTAAAGGTATTTTTAAGTCTGCCTCTGGCTGCAACACAAAGAAATTGTGGAGGCGTTTTGGAGCCTTTTGGATAGTCTTTTAATATAAATAATAATAGTGATGGCCATTAGCCATGACAGTTGTTCTTCTGAGGTCTGAGTACAGGCTGTTTGTGAGAGAAAGGAAGCTGTTTGCAGGAGCACCATGAGTTAGGCAGGGCTTTAGGGTGGAATGGAGAAGGTAGCTATGTCCACTCCGTTACCTGGCCTTCCAAGAAGCTCAGCTCCAGGACTAACCGGCACAGGAGACTGCTGCAAAGTACCCTTGTGACAGCAGGATTAGGGTCGTGGCTTGTCCGACTGGAATTGTCCATTCCAAGCTTGGGAACTGGTTTTGTGCCGGTCATATCTGAGATTAGGGCCCTTTGTGTTGGGAGGGTGATCTTGCTTAGAAAGGGTTTGAGCAGCAGTGCCAGAGCCAGCAATGGCACCTCTGGCTGCCGAGTGCTGAGCGGTCCTAGTTCTGTGAGTGTCTCACATCACTGTTGAAGTGACAAGTTAACTGCTTAGGTAAGAGATGAGAAGCAGCAGTGGAGAGGAACACAGAGCACCAAGGGAGGTCACAGATGGGAGGCAGGAGTAGGAGGAAGAGACTGCAATAATAGGAAGAAGAGACTGCATGTGTTAAAGAGATTAACCTGGGGTGTCTGATTGATTTGCTTTTAAACAAAGAAAGAGGATAAGACCTAGGCCAGCCTGTGGCAGGCTGCCAGGGCAGGAGTTTTGCTGTGTGGGTGGGACTTGAGAAATTGTGTCTGGGCTGAAATAGCTTTGCTAAACCATTCCCTCCTTCATGTTCTTGGTAGAAGAAAGGGACCTGATGGTATTTCTTGCCCATAYGAAGTACAGCAAGGAGCTTTTCTTCAGTGTCTTTCTCCAAAGTCCTGACTCTCTGTTGCCTGCCTTTCAGTGTTCGCTGCCTTTAACCAAAACCAAAGGACCCTGCTCGTGCCGCAGACAAGCCAGTCGCTTCTCCACCTGGTGCTGCACTCTGCTTCCTTCCGGAGCGGTGTTTAGAGAGCTCTTTGGCTTAACTCTGAGCTCCTCTTTGGGCCTTCCAATCCCAGCCTTGTCTGGTTTTTCTTTCATTTGCATCTGCAGGAAAGTTGGGTAGGGAGATAACCGCTTGCACCCTGGTGTGTAGGTAGCCCTCTCCACGCTGTCACAGGTACGCAAGCCTGGTTCTCACAGAGACAGCTGAGAGCACAAAACAGCTCCAAGGTAACAGATTCCACAAAGACAGCTGTGAGGACAAGCTCAGGAGAAAGATCAGTCAGATCTTTCTGACTGATACAGGGAATGCCTGGTGCCGTCGCACATGCAGTGTGCTCCCAGTCTGAGCACTGGGCCACGAGAGATGAGACGGGGCCGATGCAGCTGCAGTGGTGCTGGGCGGGGGACACTTGGCAGCCTCTCCCCGCTCATGGGTTACAGCAATTCATGCTGCACCAGGTGGTGCTCACGGGGGACCTGCATCCTCCTTAGCTCTTCGGTGCTCATCCTGAAATAACATGCACAGAGGTACCTGAGGGCCTATATATCTGTCTTTTTCTACACCTTGCTGTAACTAACTTGCCATGCAACCTGCAAGCTCGTAGGCAAAGGTTAAGCCTAGCCGTGGCTGTGCCGATGAGCTCTTGTTCCTAAGCAGCTAACATCCTTCATGTGCATTCAAGGTAAACCGGCCAGTGGGGAAGGTGCAGATCTTCACTGCAGACCTCTCGGAGATACCACGTTGCAACTGCAAACCCACAGACGAAAACCCGTGCGGCCTGGACTCGGAGTGCATCAATCGCATGCTGCTCTACGAGTGCCATCCCATGGTCTGCCCTGCCGGGGAACGCTGTCAGAACCAGTGCTTTTCCAAGCGGCAGTATCCCGAGGTACAGATTTTCCGCACGCTGGCACGAGGCTGGGGCTTGCAGGCGAAAACAGACATTAGAAAAGTAAGTACTCTGTTTCTACGTTTAACTCCCTTTTCCGCAGTGTCAGTTTTAACAGATATGTTCAAATGTCTTCCRTGATTTGAAAAATACTTTCTTGATGTAGAATGCCATTTATAAAAGAAGGGGATAAATTTAACTTTTCCAACTCTGACAAGAACAGTCTGGCTCAGCTGAGTGTATGGTTTGTGTGTTACTGTAACGGGGTAACTCAGATGATCACTTGATTTATCTACTTGGATGGATGGACTCTAAAGTGATGAGCATTAGGAATACACTAGAACACTGGCCTGCAGATCGTTCTTGGGGTTTCCAGACAAGAAACAGTGGTTTTCTTTTCCCCTTGTTCTTGAATAGGCAGGCTCTTCTAACATGAGAATCTCGTTATGAAGATCAGGCCTTGGCTCTTGCAAAGGGGGAATGTTTTGGAGATGGCTGTAATTATTTCTGAAACGAGTTCTCCAGGCAGCTGAAACATTTGTCTTTTTTTTTTTTTCTTCAATCCAGAGAGTAGTTATTCTGTGGCCACMCATCTGTGCTGAATGAAAAAGAGTATTAGAACAACCTCAAAGCGAAGAAATGATGAATTGAAGCAGCGGACAGTTAGATAGCATATAAGGAGAAGAATGTCTGGAGGAGGAGGAAGATGGAGAACATACAGTGGGGGAGGGCTTGATATCAGTGGGAATAGTGCAAGAGTGTGGCCTCTTGAGGCTTCACTGCCTGCTGTGACACAGGTTGAAGGATTTCTGACACTCCTGTTTTGTTTCTATCTTTACTGTCAGTGTGGAAACTGCAAAACTCCCTTACTTAATGGAGGTACCTCTTGGCTCTGGTGGAGCAGAGCTCCCTGTGCCTCCCTTTGACAGCTAAAGTAGGCTTTGTGATACTTGGCTACAGGTGACTACCCTGGATTTACTGCAGGAGAGGACACCCTAAGTGCATTAGGCTTCTACTGTTGCGGGTCCCAAAATGGACAGTGCTTCCAACTGGAATGCAGCTAGGTAGTGTTTTGAGCTCTGCTGCAAAACCCAGCTGTCTATGGTTTCCTTTATGCTGTCCCTGAATGTSTGTTCTCCCTAGCACAGAGAATAATGTGAGGCTATTGTTGCTTTATTTTACTTCATGTTATTTGTTGAGTTTGTGAAATGTATACATATATACATACGTATAGTATAGTTCAGAGCTCAAGTGACTGCAAAGCCCAGAGGAAGGCTGTTAGGAAAAAGTTTCTAAAAAGGAAACAGGAACTAAGTTTAGGCAAAGAGACGGATGTCCCCCTCTCCTGGTGGAAACTGATTTTATCATCAGCCCGTTTTCTGTCTTGCAGGGTGAATTTGTTAATGAGTATGTTGGGGAGCTAATTGATGAAGAGGAGTGCCGAGCCCGCATCCGCTATGCTCAGGAGCATGACATCACCAATTTCTACATGTTGACACTGGATAAGGTATGTGGCATCTGCTCTTGCCAAGGTCCTGGGCAGAAGTGCAATATGTCAAGGGGTGGGTGATAGGAGTCTTCCAGTAATTATAAAGGTGCTAAGAGTGCTGATGAGCTGGTTTGGTTTTCCACTAAGATGAATAGGCTTCTACCAAAAGAATGGACTTGATGTGCAGTGGAGTAGGCTCAGGTTGGATATTAGGATGAAGAGCAAAGTCTGAACCAACTTAATTGGAGTTTATACAGAAGAGATGAGAGACTTGTCTAGGGACAGTTGTCTGCAGATTGTGGATTGTGCTGTAGCACAATAAATTTCATAACCTCATGATCCTTCCCAGCAGYTGAAACTTGCATAGTCCAGTACTGGACTGATGAGTGCTGAAGAAGACAGCACCAGGCACCTCGTGGACCGTCGTTTATGTCCGGGACCCAGGGCGTGCATGGCAAAAGAGAGTGGGAGAGAATTTTCTCCAGCCACAGAAAGTGTTCTCAGTGTGTCCTGAAGTCTTAAGTTCAGGCAGTAGCCTAAGTTCCTGACTTCAGGAGAGAAATAATTTTGTTACCTGCTTTCCATAGACTTCAGAGTACAGAAATTGGTTGGGTATCTTGATTGTCCAAGGACCACAAGGTGATAACCCATTGCTTACACTTGGTTATAGTGTACATATGGTGAATAGTGTCACCTATTCTTAGGTGAAAGTGTCCCCACATGTCTGTGTGCATGCTTTTCACTGTTACAAATTGCTCTCTTGGCACAATGATACGTGTACTGGAAAGGCTTGAGCTGGAAATATCCCTATTAAACCTGTTTTTTCCTTTCCTTTGCAACTTTAGGATCGAATCATTGATGCTGGGCCAAAGGGCAATTACGCTCGGTTCATGAACCATTGCTGCCAGCCCAACTGTGAGACTCAGAAGTGGTGTGTGAACGGGGACACTCGCGTTGGGCTCTTCGCACTTGTAAATATCAAAGCTGGTAAGGAGCCACGCTCTCCTTCCTGGAATATGGAGCGTGAGGGGGTGGTAAAGGAAAGGTTTGTGCCTCGCTAGGAACATCCTTAATTTTGCTGTTTTCACATAGACCTTCATGAGACAAAACACCAGCACTGACATAGTGAAACACATACATCCGTGGTATAAATGGAGGTTCATGGGTATAATTTACAGAACCAAGAAATGGAATTAACTGTGTCACAGCATGGGGTTGAATGCCCTTTTGTGCTCTAATATGTGGGAGGAGAGGGAGGTTGCACTGAGTTCTCAATCCACGCAAATCTACAAGAACAGTGGTTGATATCTTTGCAGAGCTTTGTCAGTCACTTGTATCATGTTTAAATGCMCTTCAGTGGTAATAATAAGACATTCTGCCACATAGTTGGTTACAGCTCATCTTCTTTTTTTGATTTGCTTTTGTGTTAGGAACTGAGCTGACTTTTAACTACAACCTGGAGTGTCTGGGAAATGGAAAGACAGTTTGCAAATGTGGTGCCCCAAATTGCAGTGGCTTCCTGGGAGTACGGCCAAAGGTTTGATGACTCTTTTAAACTCTTCCAAATAATTTCTTTGCACAGAAAWGGTGTGTTAGCTATAGAGATTACTGGAAGAGTAATCAGTTTTCAGATAGCCATGAGAACATTGCTTGAATTGAGCTGAATATTCAGGCATTCAGATCTAAGAGGTGCAGATTTTAGACCTCAATTACTGGTGTTGGAGTTGTTACAAATAGTCACAGAAAACTATGTGTTATGGGAAGAAAAAAAAAMCAAACTCGGATAATGAGACAACCTTAGCTTGGACCATTTTCCTAAGCAAAGGCCTGAGTAAATTGCGAGCATACTTGGCAGACCAGGAAACTCATATTCCTTTAGATTGAAATTGGAAATACGTTGAGTCAGACTTCTGCATCATCATCTTTTATGCAATAATAAAATTCCTGTATTTTCTGTATTTTACTTAAACACTATGAGTATGCATGTCAGACAGAAAAGGAAATTTGCCGTATCTACAGTAGAAGAATCACTAGTTTTTAGCACTTATGGACTTTTGAGAGTTTAGTTTTGTAAGAGTAACAGAAATTGATTTCAATTACCTTGCTTGTGTGAGCTGGTTCTTACTGGGCAAAAGAAATTACAGAAGCAATTGACTGAATTCCCAGCTGTYGTCAGATAAATCTATATCTCAGCTGTTGGTTTGTTTCAAGAGATACACCAGAGCACTCTGTAAACCCCCTGCGCTGATGTGTAGATGCTGGCAGCTTACCCACAGTTAAGGGTTAAATGTTCTAGCAGCACAGCCATTAAGCCCTGTGAAAATATAGAGAAGGTTTTGCATATTTCCCAGAGTGCTAGGCCTTAGTTCTGCCAAAAAAAAAAAAAATTATGATTAAAAAAAAAAAAAGTCTTCAAAGGATGATGAATCAGGTGAATTACACACCTTGCATAGTTATTTCTCTTTTGTTGTTTCAATTTTTTTGCACAGCCTGTGGGTTATATGTGACTCAATTGTCATTTTGGTCCTGAAATTGCAGCCTGCATGATGGGAATCAGAGAAAAGTGTCCTTACATTGGCATTAATATTCCATTGTGATGATGGAGGTAATTCATTCCAGCTCGATGAGATGACCTAGGGAGAGGGAAAACAATATGTGTGTTTTTCACCACTACCCCCAAATTCATCGCACAACAGATACATTTTTAAACTGTCTGAAGATACAACAAGAGAAGACTTCATTGATTATACTCACAATTCACTTCTAAAAGTGATCTTTCTGACTTTGAGTTTGGAAAAGTGCTTGGGGGTCTATTGTACTGCGGTGATAAAGTAAGAATTGCTGAAACTTAGGAGGTTCAAATTGATTGTGAAAGGTTTTACTTCTCTCTCTTTGTGGTTGAAAAGTAGGAGAGAATAGCTAAAAGGGGTAAAAGGTAGGGGTAGTTGAGGTCATCAAGGAGGTCATCAATGAGAAATAATGGTGGAGAAGGAGCTCTTGTCCGGGTATGTCACAGCCTGAGTGTGAGCTGCTGTTGTGATGCAGCTGTGAAAAGGCCAGTGCAGCCAGGCTGCTTGGAGAGAGGTATTTGCAGTTCGGTTAGAGAAGTGCTGATATTGCTGTGAGGCTCTGTGAGGCAGCTGAGGTAGTGTGTGTAATTCAGTAACTTGTGTTTGAGAGAGGGGTACTGAAAAAAAAAGCTGTTAGGAGGATTGGGGAGATCAAAACTGCCAAAGGGTTTGGTTTGTGAGAATGACAGTGGCTGCTGCCTGTAGCATATCCTGGTGGTTACTTGAAAGAGAGAAAAAAAAAGAACAATTTAGTCCGGGAACATGGTGACCAGACACCATAAAGCATCTGTAGAGATGGGTCAGGTATGGCTGGCACCAGCTTTTAATTGTGGGATTTGTGGTTTATAAGACATTGCAGCAGGAAGGGACAGAGACCCGATTAACTGATTCCGCCCTCCCTGCAGAGCCAACCCAGCCTCACGGAGGAGAAGTCCAAGAAGCTGAAGAGACGGCCGCAGATGAAGCGCAGGTCGCAGGCCGAGGTCATGAAGGAGCGCGAGGACGAGTGTTTCAGCTGTGGGGACGGAGGGCAGCTGGTTTCTTGTAAGAAGCCGGGCTGCCCCAAAGTGTACCACGCCGACTGCCTCAACCTGACCAAGAGGCCTGCAGGTCAGTGCGCCTGGGAAAGGGGAGCGCGCAGCGGCCTCCTGCTCCCTGCCGCCTCTGAAAACTAGCACTTTTTATCACTTTTTCACTTTTATCACCCTTGCAGCACACAGCACACCCCGCTGTGACTGCAGAGGGTGGATGTATGGCCAAGTGGGGAGCTTGTTGTCACTTAAAAAATAGTGCTTGTGAGCTGAGSACCGGAGTCATCCTCCAGGCCTGGCAGAGGACAGTGCCATGGTGATGGGAGAGGTGGTGGTCGCTCAGACTCAGTGTTTTTCAACAGAAGTTATTGAAATGAACTGTGAGGGAAAAAACACTGCTGAAAAATAACAGAGAAGAATATGTTGGGTGTCTCAGAAACAATGGTTTCATAGTTAAGGAAGAGTATCTTTCATAGTTAAGGAAGAGTATCAAAGCATCACTTTGTTTGTGGGGAGATATGAGCAGAAACTTAACACAGGAAGCAAAAGTATCCAAGATGTTCTAGTTTGTATACAGAGAAAGGAAAAGATGTGTACGGTTTTTACTTTATTAGTAGCTTAGGAGCTTCTGTTAAACAATCTAACATCTTGAGTAGACTTGAAAAAATGATGGATTGCTGTCTCCGAAAGACTTGTGTGATCTCCTTAGTCCTTTTCCAGATTAAACAAAAAGTCTGTCCCTGCAGCTCTTTATTTTCTAAAATTAGAATTCTTGCCGTGCGCTGGATTGTGTCCTGCTTGCCAACGTGTTTCCTAAAGTGTAATAATAAGAATATTTAAAAGTGTTGCCAACAAGCCCTTGCTAATGCCAACAGACCAGAGTAATTGCATTTTGTGTTTTACATAAAATTCTTCAGGAAATGAGATCGGACTTGTTTTGCGAAAACAACTTTTTGTATATATGTATTTATTAGTTTGTGATTTGCCCAATTAACTTTGAGTCCTGTTGTCTTGGTCTTCTTCACAGAGTTATTTTATTTCTTCTTCCTAAAATAATGATTTGCATAGTTATTAATTTGTTTTATGGCTTCTTGTTGGTTTAAGAGTATCCGGGTTTACCAGTATAATTTTGTATTCTGAGCTTACCCCTCAAGAGGCCCCTGACGGCCTTGTTGTCACCTGCAGATGTTTCTGATATTTCTGTAAAGATATTTACTATTCTACTTCCAAAATTTGAATTAGAATATAGACTATAACAGACCTCCTGTTAGGACCTCATTTGAAATGCCATATTTGACAGAAGACCATTATTAGCTGATTTTTGAGAATAGTTTTGCCATTTTACTTTTTTTAATCTAGGCTGTTATTTTCATAATCTGCAACTTAGACTGTTGCAAACAGAATGCTGAGTGCTAAAGGTTATCATTTTTTTACTTCAAAAGCTTCTTCCGTCACAGGATTGCTGCCACACAGTAGGAATTTTCTGCTTGTTTGCGTGCTACTAATTGTGCGGTTGTGCTTCGGAGCACTCCTCTTCTCTGGGCTCGTTCTGGAGAGGCTCCTTATTCATCAGGCCTTTCATCCTGCCAGGGGCTGTTCGGGTGGTTTCATCCGTCCATCCCTGACGAAACCCACTGGCGGTTTTTGTCTTAGTTTATTTTTGGCTGTTACCAATGACCTCTATAATAATTACTCTGGAATTTCTCCACAGCGAGTGTTCCAAGTGGCTGTTCTCTGAAAACAGTGCCAGGGGAGCTCACCAGTGCTGGCAGCTGGAAAAGCTGGTGCAAAGTTGGTGTGAGAGCGGCAGGGGGAGCAGCACTGCGAGGCCAGGAGGGGAAAAGCACATCTAGTCTGGAGCTTCCGTGTTCGGAAAAAAATGGAAAAGACACAGAGACTCAGCACACTTTTCTTTTTTTTTCTTTTTTTGAGACCAGAAGTCTTGGACTAGCTTCAAAGGACCAGCAAAACGTGCTGCATSTTCTCTGCAGCCCGGGGAAAAAGCAGCGTGCGGGGCCGGGGGGTGGGAAGCTGGTGTTGCCCAAGTGCGCCGAGAACCGGCCACAGCTGCTCGGTGCCGGAGCAGGAGTCTCTATCTCTTCCTGCCTTTCTTGGCAAGAGCTGGTAGCCAAAACCACAGCTGTGTGGGCTGGTTGGGGAGGCTGGGGAGGGCTCCAGCGCTGGTGCTGCCCCGCTGATGCCTGTCCCCTGTCCTTGCTGTCTGGGAGCCAGCTAGAAGCCTGGCTGAGCTGGCAGCAGCCTTGGCTGGGGGGAAGCAGAGAGATGAATCAATAAGAACTATCTTCACGTGGAAGAAACAGCATAACCTCTGTGAGCTTCTGGTTTCTTTTTCTCCATGCTGACTTTGAGCCTGCAGTGAACAGATTCAGTGCGGACAGTGACCTCYTCAGGCGCAGCTCGGCTTCACGCTAAGAAGCATTTTTATTGTGGGCCAACACGGAGGTTAAGGAAGATGTCTTGAGGACGGAGACAAGAGAAACTCATTTCCTTATATCCGCTCWCCTCTGACGACTGCTTTCTGATAAACAGGAAGGCAGGAAGTTGGCCCCAGAACTTAACAAAGACTTAGATGAGCCTGAAGCATCCACAAATCGTTCAGCATAGACGGCAGCCTATATCTGTATGGCCAGAATTTAAAAATAATTTGGATGAAATTACTTTAAAAGTCCAGTGGATGTCTTGTATGCAGCTACTGTTGGATTTTTGTTTATTTGTTTGTTTTTGGAAATTAGAGCCACAATGAGGTGCAGGCTGGATAAGGTGCACCTTATCTAGGTGCCCATACTGGTTAGTGTCATCCTGAACTCAGGTGGGCCTCTGTTCTCACCTGGTGTGGTTTCTGTTTGTCGTGATGATGATTTCCCTCATTGCCTCTAAGGACTGCAAATTCCTGTTAACTGCCCTTCAAGTCTAAGAGTTACGCTAGAGACTGAGAAGAACCAGCAGCTGCAGAAGCATATCCAAGTGTTCCCAGYGTGTTCCCACTCTTCCTTGCATCTTGTATCCATTCATCTTGTATCTTACCTTTGTACCACTCCTAAATTGTGATTTTTCTCTTGTGTCCCTTCTGCAGGAAAATGGGAATGCCCATGGCATCAGTGTGATCTGTGTGGCAAGGAAGCAGCTTCCTTCTGCGAGATGTGCCCCCGATCCTTCTGCAAGCAGCACCGAGAAGGCATGCTCTTCATCTCCAAGCTGGATGGACGTTTATGCTGCACAGAGCATGATCCCTGTGGGCCCAACCCGCTAGAGCCTGGAGAAATTCGTGAGTATGTGCCTCCCATAGGAGCACTGGCTAACGGCGAGGACACCCAGCCGCCAGAGCAGCCGTCTGCAGACACAGACCTGAGCGTTCAGTCTCTGGACAGGCTGCCTCAGTCCGTGGCCTTCAGACTGCAGACATCGGAGAAACCCCCCGCGACCCTAGCGCTGAGGCTGCCGCCTTCAGACAAACCCCCCACCACCCTAGCCCTGAGGCTGCAGCCGTCAAACAAGCCCCCCACCACCCTGGCCCTGAAGCTGCCTCCGCCAGACAAACCACCTGCCACCCTGGCCCTGAGGCTGCCGCCGTCAAATAAACCCCCCACCACCTTGTCACTGAGGCTGAAGCCCTCCAACAAGCCCCCCACCACCCTTTCCCTCCGGCTGCAGCCTTCGGACAAACCTCCCACCACCCTGTCGCTCCGTTTGCAGCCCTCGGACAGGCCCCAGGCTGCCCTGTCCCTCAGGCTGCAGTCGGAGAAGCAGCCCATCGTGGTGGCGCTGAGGTCTGAGCAGCCCGACAAACCYGCCGCCAACGCGGTGCTGTGGCCGCTGGACGAGGCTCCCAGCGACTCCTCCCAGCCCCAGCTTCCCAGCAAATCTCCCCCGGGAACGCCGCAGTCGTCGGACGAGTCGCTCGTTGCTGTTGGTGACCTGCAGCTATCGGACAAGGCTCCTGCCGCTGCCGACGTCTTGGGCTTCTCGAGCAAGCCCCTCGCTGGCACCAGGACCCAGCAGTCTCCGCTGCTGGAGGAGTTTCCCACAAAATGCCTGCGCCCTCAGCTCTCGGACAGGCTTCTGGGCGCCGCGGGGMCGCCGCCGCCCCAGGCGGTGGATGAGCTGCCCGTGGCCGATCAGCCCGTGCTGCTCAGTAAAGCTGCTGCCCCCAGTCCGCAGCCGCAGCCCGTGGAAAAGGCTCCCAGCTCCGTGGGGTCGCGTGGCCCAGCCTTGGAGAAGGCTCCTGGCCCTGGCGTGCTGTGGCCTCTGCCTGTTGAAAACGTTCCCAGCCCCCCAGCCTCCCGGATCCTGCCCACAGAGAAGGTTCCCGGATCTGCGGGGCCACGGCTCCCACTTCCAGAAAAGGCTTCCTTCCCGGGGGCCGCGCGGCTCCCGGCCTCGGAGAAGGCGCCCGCCTCTGGGGCGCCGCGTGCGCTGCCTTTGGAGAAGGCTCCCACGTCGGGGACGTCACGGGTCCTCCCCACGGAGAAGGGCCCCAGCTCGGGCGTGCCGCGGCCGCCGGAGAAGGCCCCCGGCTCCAGGTCGCCGCACGTCCTGCCCGGGGAGAAGGCTCTGAGCTCGGGGACGCTGCGGCTGCCCCTGGGGCAGAAGGCTCTGCCCGCCGGCGTGCTGCGGCCCCTGCCTCCGGAGAAGGCTCCCGACTCGGCGCCGCTGCGGCTCCTGCCTCCGGAGAAGGCTCTTGGCTCCGGAGCGGCCTGGCCCGCGCTGCTGGAGAGGCCTCTCACGCTGACTGCGCCGTGGCCGCAGGCGTCGGACAAGCTGACGGCGGCCGTAGCTCCTCGGCCCCAAGGTGTGGAGAAGCCGCCGGCCGCCTCGGCCCCCCGGCTGCTGCTCTCCGAGAAGGCGCTGCGGCCCGTCGACCAGAACGCGCAGCCGAAAGACAGGGCAGCCGCTGCTGGCGACGGCAGTCCCCAGCAGAAGGAGAGGACCATGTTGCCCGCTGAGCAAATCTCCTGGCCCGCTGGGAAAGCGGCGGCGCATGTCGGACAGGTACCTTGGCCCGCTGAGAAACTACAGACGCACGAGCAAAGCCACTGGCCCGCTGCAAAAGCCCTGATGCCCGCGGAGCTGTCTGCTCGGACAGCAGAGAAGCTCCCCGAGCCGCCGCTGCAGCCTGGCTGGGAAGCGGCCGCGGCCGCCGCGGAGCAGAGCCCTTGGACAGCGGAGAGGCTGCGCGCGTTCGAGCAGGCGCCGCGGCCCGCGCGGGAGGCGCCCGCCCCTGCCGAGCAGGTGCAGTGGGTTGTCAGGAACGTTCAGACCATTGACCAGATTTCCTGGCTGGCTGGAAAAGTACTGATTCCTCAGGAGCAGGACCCTTTGCCCGAACAAAACGCGGCGCTAGCCCATAACCAGGATTCTGTCTGTCGTGAGTTGGCTGACTCAGAGCCAAAGTGAGGTTGGTGAATATGGGAGGCAGGTTTCAGTCTTTTAATGTTTAGGGAGGGGGTTATTCCTTTTTTTTTTTTTTTTTAAATTTTTTTTTTTAAATTCACTTCCTTGAGCCCAGCCCCTAACCCGTGCACATCCTATCCATATTCTCTCATGACATGAGCAAGGACATTCACTTGAGTCTGAGTGTGGCCCAGCCAAGGGGAGAGAGCATCCGTGACCTTTCCCTCTTTCTTTTACAAACGGTAAAGCTGAAATAAAAGAGTCCACTCTGGATAAAATCTCAGATTCCATTGGAATGGTCACATCACTGATCCAGCATGTTCAAGCTCCAGGTCTAATTCACAGGTGGGTTCCCAAGTGCAGCTAGAGCCGGGGGTCTGTCTTATTCCTGTGTTCAGCAGAAGCAGGTCAGTGAGGCTCCCCGGGAGTGCAGAGCTTTCAGGGATCAGATGATGAGCAAGGAGGTGTGTTCCCTTGCCGGACAGCAGCAGCAGGGAAGGGGGTTGGCAGCTTGTGCCCAGTCTGTCCCGGCAGGGTTGTGCTTCGCAAGGTCTGTCCATTCCTTCCCCAGGATGAGCTGCGTGCATGGATCACCGAGGGGCAGGCAGCGGCTGCGGTAGGAGAGGAGCCCGCTGCACTCGGGCTGTGCAGTTCACCCCAGTAAATACTCAAAATACAGGCAATATTCATTAAGGCTCCTTTGCGCAAAGCTGAGGCTGTCCAGGCCCAAGAAACGGGAAGTGTAGAGGAGGTCAGAGGAAAGAGATCCTAGAAGGAGCCACCTGGCAGTATTTTTTCATCCTTGTGTTTCAACCCTTTAGCACAGGCCACGCAGAGCGTTTCCTGCACTTGAAAACACTGCGACTTATAAAGCAGCAATAGCAGAGCAGAGCGGAGCGAATTTCCCCAAGGTGCTGCGCGCCGGCCCTGCGGGTCTCGGTGCTCCCTTTGAAATTTCCATCTAGTCTCTTCTCGACTCGTGTCGTTCCCGTGAGCCAGCAAACTGAGCGCTCCTTTCTTCGCTTGTCTCAGCCGTGCTCGGGATGCGTGGGCATCACATCTGGCCTTCCCAGCAGAGCAATGCCCTGCAGAGCTGCACGCGGAGCCCGTGCCACGCGCTCTGTAGCGCAGGGCCAGGAGAGCTGTGTGTGTCCAGGGACCCGTGGCAACACCTTCCCCTTGGGTAGCTCCTGGCTTATCTACAACCAAAGGAGACTTGAATTAACTGGACTATTTTGGTGTGTGTGTGTGCGCGTGCGTGTGTGTCCTCCCACCTGAATAGTAGTTCTCACACTGGAACGCAGTGGGCTCTAGCAGCTGCCCGGCCTTCTTTTCCTGCTCTCCCTCTTCCACTTGAAGAGATGTTTCGTTCCTRGTGGTTGTGGGGCCGGTGTCCGGACCAGCCCTGCTGGAAGCAGTGGGTGGCTCGAGTGTCGAGGCAGGAGCTTGCTTTGCCGTGATGCTCACGGGCAGGCGGGCGGGCGCTCCCCAGGGACCAAAGGAGTGGCACCCTGTGGCACCAGCCCCCGCCGCCCTCGGAGCCAGGGGGACGGGTGTCCCCGGCGGCGCTGCGGGCGCTGGATCAGGCTCCGTGTCCTGCCTTCGGGAAGGCAGCCTGCYCAGCGCACCCTCCCACTCACAACACGTTACCTCCGCGGTGTGCCCGAGCTCCGTGGAGCGGCTCCCGCAGCCGTGCCCGCTCCGTGCCGGCCTCCCGTGCAGCTCCAGCGTGTCCTTCCAGGCGCGGGCAGGTCTGTGGGGCTCCCGCAAGGACCGAGTTTACCTCCCGACTGACCCTTTTTTCCTGACTCGGGAGCAGCTCCTTTGGCTCGCACATGCCTGCTGCTCCCAGAGCCGGATGGTCTTGAGCTTTGCAGTGTTTTCTGAAGGGAGACAGACACTTGTAGCAAGACAAATCCTGATCCGCTCTCCTTTCCTGCTGTGTGCACCCAAGACAATGTCCTGCTGTAAAGGCTGGGTGTGCTGGGCACAAGGGGACATTACCAGTGCTATGGTGCATCCCTTCTCTAGTCCGAATCATTTCAGATCCTTTGTAGAATAGCTAGCGATTTCGAAAAAAAAGCTTTATGGCTTATGGAAACTTACTGTTTAATGTTGTTTTTCCGGGAAGACTGGCAGGTCGATTCCTGCTTGCTGCTGAAACTGGGGAAATGCGAGCAGCTTGCGTTTCTGCGTGACTCCTGCACAAAGGGAATCAGGACAACTCCTCAGAACCATTGAGAGAGAAGATATACTAAGGGCATTTATTAACTTTTTTTAAACAGAATTAAAAAAAAAAATGGTATTGAGGTTCAGTATATTAAGTATTTATCATGTGTGAGAAGGAAAAATAAATCTTGAATTTGCATTTATAGGCCTTCCCATGAGCTGGACTTAGTCATGTAGATTGTGTAAGTAGGGTTACCTCCGTGCCAGCCGCCCAGCCAGCTACAGCTGTAACCAGAAAGGTATCTGCACTGCTCTGTCCAACTCCGCTTTGCATTGTCATGTGTTAACTAGTTATTTGTTTCCTGAAAAATAAACTGTGAATATTTTTGGTGCAGGCTATTTTAAATCTGTATGATGGAGAAGTTCTCAATGAATTCTCGCAAGTGCAGGTTTGAAGAATCCCGGCTGTGGATCGTGTGCTCAGACGCTAGGGTGAGGTTCACAGCGGCGGGAGCCGTTCTCACAGCAAGCCGTTACCCACAACCGTGTTTTGAACAGTGAACATAGACTGAACTGTTGCATGGCGTATCAAACCCTCCGCCTTATTCCTTGCATCTGGCTCTATCCCGCCTCTCTCCTTGTCTCCCTTCATGCCTTTTCCRTGAGGAACCAGTTGACTCCAGCGGGAGCTGGGAGGCTGCGCCGTAAAGTGGGACCTGGCCTTGGGTAACGTTGTCCCCCCAAGCCTTGCGCTCCCCTGGGCGATGGTGTGTCCAAGAGGGAGGGCTTTATCGTGCCCGGGGCTGCCGGGAAGATGAAATGTTCCCAGGAACGAGCGACAGGACCGGGTCACCTCCGCAAAACGGGCAGGGCTGGCAAGGTTGGAGACGGGGCCCTGCCGCCTGATGGGCACGTGTCCCCTTAGCGGCCTGTGTTGCGCTCGGAGGCGAGCGGCGTGGGCAGCACCAGCCGTGCGCAGAAACGGGGGCTGCTTTGGGCCRGGGGGCGGCCGCTGCTGGGGGCACCCGTGTGGGGCAGGGGCTGCGTGGCGCTTCCTGCGCCAAGGGCTGAGGCTCCTCGTGGCTTTTCCGGCTCTCCCCGCTTGGAATCACTGCGTGTTTCTAACACAAGCGGCGCGCGGCGCGGGCAGGACGTTGGTGCCGGCGGGAGCCGAGCTCCGCTTGTAGAAACCCGCGAGCTCCGTGGGGCTGCGTGTGCGGGAGTGGGGCTTGTGTTGCCCCCCGGTGCCACCCGCTCCCCGGGGCTGTTCCCTGCCAGCCAGGGCTCCGGGCGATCCCCTTGGGAGGACGAATCCCAGACTGAGGTGCCGCGGATAGGAGCTGGCTCACGCAGCACCGCCCTCCTCAGCTTAGAACTGTTCCTATTTAAAGAATAAGATAGCATTMATTTCCATGCACAAGCTATCCAGGTAGTACTGTGGGAGCATGCACTCTAATTTAGGATTTAACCCCCTTCCCTTCCCGCCAAGCTCAGGCTTTCCTTTAAAGGTGGGAGCAGTATTAAAATTCCAAGAGATCAGATGTATGGTTAAAGCTAAAGAGCAGGAGCATGTTAAGGTGAGAAGATGCAGAATTAGGTTACTAGAAAAGCTTCAGGACTGTTTAATTGGGAAAAAAATAAAAGGAAGAGGAAAAAGGAGGTCTAACCCTAATGCATCTTAGGTTGGTTTAACACGAGCATGCAGTTGGTGTCTATGTTGCTTGTGCTTGGACGAGGCAGCCAGCATCACTACAGGGTAGAGGAGAGTTTGTTTGAGAGACCTCAGACCTTTCCACGCCTTCAGTTGCTTTTTAATTTCAGCCTTCTGAGTTTGCATGGCATTCGGAATAACCCTAATTGTAACCTGCTCGTGTTGTGCTTCGCCCTAGATTACCGGTGAGTCTCGCAGCCTTTGCCGGCGAGTGGGTGTCAAAGCAGAGCGCCGCACGTGCAGCTCCTCGGCGCGGGGAACGGGCGCTCTCGTGATGGGGTTTGGTGACCAGGGGGTTTGGTGACCTCCCCCCCGGCAGGGCTGGTGACCCAGGGGTTGGTGTCCCGGGAACATGGGGCGCTGCGGCTCGGGGAGCGCTCGCCGTGCAGGGACGGGGTGGCAGTGCCTGGGCAAGCGGGAAGCGCCTGTTTGTGCCCCTGGGGCAGGGAAGCGGCGGTGACGCAGGCCCTGCAGCACCGAATCTACCTCCAAGGGAGATCCCGAGCGCCGGGTGATGCTCTGTCCTATCCCAAGGTAAAGCTCTAATCAGTTTGCCCTCGGCCAAGCCTTGGGCTATTGTGGTGCTATTGTAAACCCTTCGGCAGCTCGGCACCGTAAGGCTGAAGTCGCAGCTCCCAGCCCTGGGGCTGGTGTTTTTCTCAGCTGAATCCTGTCCCCAGGATACCTGGGGCTTGGGCTTTGGTGCGTGTGACAGCAGCAGGGCAGGGTACGTCCCTTGAGCTCGGAGACACTCGATTCCTTGGATTTGTGGTGGTTTGGAGACTCAAACCAGCGCGCCAGGAGGCCCTAGTAGTGCAGAGAGCAACCGGCGCCCCACGAAGCAAGGCAGGCGCCTGCCAGCTGCATGTTCTTTGTGTCCGTTTGGTACTGAGCTGGTTTCAGTTTTGTTTTGTTTTGTTTTTCTGATGTTTCCTAGTTGTTGACTTCAAGGAACTGAGTTTTGTGGCTTTTTGGTTTTTGGTATTTTTTTTTCTTTCTTTTTCTTTTTTTTTTTTTTTTTTTTTTTTTTTTTTTTTTTTTTTTTTTTAATTTTCGACACTGGGAACTTACTAAAAGGCAAAGCAGCAGCCCCAGGAGGCTCAAGGCGCCGCGAGGCTGGAGCTGAGGGCGGCCCTGGCCAGGCCGGGTTTGCGGGGAGCGCCTTGGAGCTCGTTGTGCCGCTGCTGCCCACGGAGCCGCTGGGCCCTGTCCCAGCAGCCTTCCAGGGCGCACGGAGCCGCTCGGGAGCGTTAGGTGAAGGATGTGCTAGGAGCCAAGCGCTGGAGAGGGCTCCCTGTCCGAGCGGCAGCGCTTGGCGCGAGTGCAGCCCCAGGCTGAGGGTCCCGGCGGGAGCCCCCTCGCCGTGTTTTGCTACCGGCTGTGCCAAGCCCGGGGGCTGCAGGGCCCCGCTTTGCAGAAGGAAAACGCGATCAAAGCGTGGGGACGTGMGCCGGGGACGTGCACCGGGGACACAGGTGCTCCTGCGCACACAGAGCGGTCCGGGTCTTGTCGCTTCCACGCCGAGAAGGCCAGAGCGGGTGAGAGGAAGCTACGTATTTCCAGCATGTATAATATTTCTAGAAGAGGGAGAGGGGAGAGTCTTGGACCATTGATTACTTTAATTTTGCTCCCCTTAGACTGTTGGCTGTGTATGTGAAACTTATAATGAAAAGAGGGTTGCCCTGCCCAGGTGCTCCCAGAACATGTACTGTAATTCTTTGTATATAGAAGAAAAATTACTGTAAAGTAAAGTTTAACTTTACTCTGGATGTCCTCTCGTGTGTTGTGTTGCCGCGGGGGGCAGAGGCAGCGCGAGCGGCGCAGGGGGGCCCGGCCCTGTCCCGCTCACGGAGCGCCGCTCAGCCAAGGACAGCGCTGGTGCAGCGAGTTCATCAGGCCTCAGGACACAGCCCCTTGSGGTGACTGTCAGCTCCGCTGGGCGAAGGGGGCCTGTTCCCAGGGGATCCCCTGCTGTGGGCCAGGGAGCTTCCTTCACCCCTGGCACAGGCCTTGAGCCCTGCAGGAACCCACAGGCCTTCCCCCTCACACCTCCAGGCTGACCCTGTTGCTGTTCCATCCGCAAACCCGTTCTCAGACCACAATGCATTTTATTTACATTGTATACCTCAAAAAAAAAAAACCCACCAAAAAAGATGACGCTTAAATAATCTGTAAAGGATCAGGCGGGATCTCCATGAGAATAAATAAACAGCGCGCTGGGCCGGAGCTGCGGCTGGGGAAGCAGCCCTTCCCGGTCCCGGTGAAGGGAGAGGCGCCTCCGCGGGGCCCCGTGCGCGGCTCCTGGCGCGGCCCCGCGCGCTGTCCGGCCCCGCGCGGCCGCCGGGAGCAGCTCAGGCCGCGGGACCCGCTCCCTTTGCGTGCGCCCTCCGCCCGCACAGCTAAAACACAGCAGGTAAAAAAGGGGCAAGTCCAGGGCGCGCAGGCTGCCCGAGCGCAGCGGGGCGGCCCTCGGCGCGGCCGCCTCAGTGGTGGCAGCAGCTGTACAGGTAGGGACTGCTCCTCTGGCCCAGCTCGACGCCTTTCTCCTCTGCAAGAGAGCGCTCGGTAAGGGAGGGTGTGGACGCGTCCGGCACCGCGACGCCAAGCGGAGGCCAAGAGGTTCCAGCCTCCTGTCAGTCCCCGGCCCGGCACGGCCGCTGGAGAGCAGGAGATCCCTCTGGGAGAGATCCCTGGCATGCTCCGGTTTAACAGAGCGCAGCTCTCCCGGCCGTGGGACGTTCCCGGGCTGCAGGCAGGCGGGGACAGGCCCGGTGAAGCACTGGGAGCAGGTAATGCAGCCAGGGAGGGACCCGGCTGCCTCCCTGAGGCCTTTCCACGGCTCAGTCTCGGCACAGGCCACGCACGGAGCACGTCTTGTGCAACGGGCTCTCAAGGACRGCACGGATGGGGAACTTGCTCTGAAGTTCTGCTGGAAAATCCCCCGCGCGGAGCCACAGTGGCCTCAGGGAAGGTGCATGTGAGACTAGCAGGAACCTGGGCCCACGTTCCGCTTCTGAACGCGCCACAGAGCAGCGCGAGGGGCTGGGGATCCTGTGCCCCAGCCATTAGCAGGGCCAGGAGGGCTGGGCGAGACCCAGGGGAGCTCTTTGTGTGCAGCCTCCCCGAGATCTCGGRGGAGCATCAGGCCGAGCCCAGCTCCTGCGCAGGGAGCTCCCGGGGGAGCGCCCAGCGTGATGCGCTCACCTGTCATCACCTGGAAGGCGGTGAAGTGCACAAAGTCCTCGGCCACCTTCTGGAACAGCTCATCTGCGACGGGACGGAGCGYGTGGGCGTCTGCCCGCGTGCCGCGGCTGGGCACCGCGTCAGGGAGCTGGGGCTTTGCGCTCCCCCTCGGGGCGGCTGCTCCCTCCCTCCCCAAGCAGGGCAGGAGGCCCCCGGGCTCCTCGTGCCAGGTCTGCCCGTGCCTGGAGCGGGTCAGCGAGGTGCTCTGCGCCCCCGGCAGCTCGCGGCCCCCAGCCCAACCAGGTCAGCACGGGCCCTGCACGGAGGGGGACACTCACCCACGCTCTGGCCCGTCTTACTGGAGGTTTCAAACAGCTCGGCCTTGATCTCTGAAACAACGAGCACAAGGTAGCGCCCGTGGGTGCAAGAGGTGGCCCCACGGGCTGAGCTCTCCTGCCCGCGTGTGGCTGCTGTCCCCTGTTCAACAGGCTGCTCCCGCCACCCCGCGCTCCCCAGCTGGCTTGGCAGCGCTTCCCTGCGCCCTCTCCCACCCGTCCGTGCCCGCAGCGCCAGGACATGCTGTGCTCAGGGAATTTCTTGGAAAGCCCATGGGCTCGTCGCGCAGGGAGCCTAGGCCAGGCCGAGCCACAAGCTGCTCCTGCCATTCACGCGGAGCGGCGGGATGCGCTGCTGGACTCTGCATTGGGCAGCGGGGCAGCCCCTCATGCTGCACAACCCCACCAGAACCACGACTCCGTTTCCCAGCTCCCTGCAGGCCCCGGGGGAACGCGGGAAGGCCGGGCACTGCCGGGCCAGGCAGCGAGCAACCCTGCTGTGCTGGAGCGGCGCCCGCGGGGCGGCACACGCACCGTCCGCGTAGTCCTGCACGTCGTGGAAGTCGACGCCGCGCTTCCTCCTGTCCTCCTCCAGCAGGTCGCTCTTGGTGCCGCACAGGTAGATGCGGCAGTTCTGCGGCGGGCGGCGGAGCGGCGGCTCGGGACGTGCCCGGGCGCTGCCACCCGCCTGCCCTCCCTTCCCTTCCCAGCGCGGCCGGCTCCGTGCGGGCAGCCGGAGCGCCCCGCGAGCCCCGCGGCTGCTGCCCGGCTCCCGGCACRCCGGGCTCGCAGCAGCCGCCCCGGCGGGCAAGGCGTCCTGCTCGCGCACAGAGCAGGTCTGTGCAGGAAGCCGGAGCCCCATTCCCGCTCGTCCTCAGCACATCCCGAGGGACCCCCGCCGGCAGCGCGAGCCCCTCGCTGCCATTCACCTCCTCGAAGTTCTGCAGCTCGTTCACCCAGAACTTGGCCCGCTGGAAACTGCTGCTGTCGGTGAGATCTGCGAGGGACGAGTCACGCTCTGCCCTCAAGACCCTCCGTCCCCAGCAGAGCCCCCAGACCCGGACCCGCAGCCCCCCTGGCGCGGGCGCCACGGACGCGAAGCCTTCGCGGCCGCTCCTTCCTCCTCCTCCTCGGAGCGAGGCCCTTACCGTAGCAGACGACGGCGGCTCGTGCGCCGCGGTAGTAGATGCGGCTCATGGCCTCGTACCTCTCGGAGCCGGCCGTGTCCTGGGGCGGCGGGGCCGCGGTGAGCGGAGTGGGGCCGCGGTGAGCGGAGCCGGGCCGGCCCGCGCGCGCCCCCCCGCACTTACCCAGATGCCCAAGGTCACGCTCTGCTCGCCCACGGCCATCGCCTTGGCCACGAAGGCGGCGCCGATGGTCTGCAAGGGGAGCGGCAGCGCCGTGGGGCCCGGCCCGGCCCGGCGGGACCCCGCGCGGGGCGGCGCGGCGGGCACTCACGTTCTGGTAGGGCCCGGGCCGGAAGCGGCCGTGCACG